GCAAGGATTACGTGAACTGGACTAGTTACATAATCATCAGTACAGATGCAAAGTAATAATCCCCTGTTTGGGACACATAGACTTCAAATATATTTTATGAATAACAAAGCAAACATATTGACACAAAGTTCAATAATATATATTCTGAACATCGATGTTATGTCCTAAATTAGACAGCTGATGGTTGAGTTTTGGGGAGAAACATTGCGTTTGGATTTGAAAATACAAAGTGAGTGAGTGAGTATAGTTTTACGCCGCTTTTAGAAATATTCCAGCAATATCACGGCGGTGGACACCAGAAATGAGCTTCACACTATTTACCCATGTGGGTTTTCGAACCTGGGTCTTCAAGTGACGAGCAAACGCTATAACTGCTAGGTACCCCACCGCCCCGGAAAATATTAAGTACATACCTCAGCATTGCAAGTGTAGCAATACTCTTGTCAGCAAGTGGAGGCTGAAGGTTTGTCCAGTGAACGCACACTTATTCAAATGTTTGGTGACATTCTAAAGTAAATAGAATGACCCTGTTGTACAATCTGGAAATTTCTTGACACGTTTAATTGCCATTTCAACATAGATTTGCAATGCTTCTTGTTTGTTCAACGTCTCTTCTTAAAAACATCACTGTGCAGAGTTGCGTCCCTTGGTAACACCAGGAACTCTGATCATATATTCGAATCCTTGTTCGTCACTAGTGTTGTTAGCACCAAGCCCTTGGTCTTGGGTTTCGATAAAATTGTGCATGATCTGTCATTCTATATTAATCGGACGCCATAATGTAATCATGTAATAATGTAAACCCAAACCTACTCATGTATGGAGTGCTGCACTAGTACTGTTAGTAGAAAACACTACCCATAACAACGCCAAATTAATTCACCGTTATACGAGGAGACATTACAGTACACCAGTCACATACAAAACACTCATGCTCCTACGTTTGTAGCATAAAGTATTAGAGATGTTTCTCAGTGCTTCGATTATTTTCTCGTTATTTTGAAGGCTTTAGCCACCGCTTTGCCCAAATACATGCAACTGACTCAATGTAACGTACACAAACAGCCTTCAGATGGTCTCAGCCACCTTGACCTGCTCAAGGTCGTGACAATGATATGTTTGTCATGATAAACTTCAGTGGCACATTGTATGATCCGCTGTGTCCCATGTTGTGTACAAAGGATCATATTTATAAGCACATACTTACACAACGTCCAGACTGACAGTCCTGGACGTCCTCGACTCCATTTTGTTCATTTAGGTAAGCTACTTTTCCGTTAATGTAACTGTATGACAATAACGGTAGATACATTGATGATTAAAATCAATGCAACAGCCATCAATCCGAGTATGGATCTGACTTAATAATTATGACATGCCGTTAACAAAATAGCTGCTAAAGCCTGCGTTATTAGTTGTTTCTGTCGAATCTGAGTTTCCAGGTTTGTCGGTATGTTTGTAAATATGCACGACCTTTCCTAACGTGGGCGGCGGGGTAGCCTAGTGGTTAAAGCTTCAGCTTGTCACTCTTAAGACCCGGGTTCGATTCCCTACATAGGTACAATGTGTGAAGCCCATTTCTGATCTCCCCGTCGTGATATTGCTGGAATTTTGCTAAAAGCGGCGTAAAACCCAACCCACTCACTCACTTACCTCACATTAGGTGAACACATAGTTAATGAGATACTGCTATTTTAAAAACCCACTCACCCACTAACGGGGAACTCAATGAGATTCTAATGGTCATTGTAAGGTTTTGTAAGAAATGAACGAGCTGTGAAGGAGAGAGTGAATTCGGCTGTCGGAATTAATAGTTTCAATGATTTCTGCGGCCCAGTCTGAGTAAAGTTATTCGTTACACTGCTATACTTAGTCTATCAAAACCTTGTGGATGGTCGCGTCAGGTAACCTTTTCAATTGACCAATCAGAAGACAGCTTACCAAATCACGAAAGTTGACATTCGCACATACCTTGTGAACTTTTACCTCGAAACAATTTTGTACCCGAACGATTCCGAATGCTATTTTCCGTAAGATCGCTTCCGAGTGATGCACATGGGGCACGTCACAACCGTGAGTAAACAGTCGCTGAAAATAGCGTTTTGTCAGTATTCAAGGATGTCGGCTTGCGGAAATATTAGCTAATGATAACCATGTCAACAGAAACCCAAAGTGTATATTCTGCAGGTCATATATCTGTGTTGTATGCAGGTTTTCATTTGTTGTGAGATCAGTGTTGGCGACAGGGCAAAAGTAAATCCATTTTCGTAAGTCCCGCCGAACCCCAAATAGTAGCCGTTGTCTGATTGGTTCAAATCCGTTCTGTCGTCTCGCGTTTGATTGGACGGTCATAGGTCGCTCAAAGGTTACCTGACGCGACCTTCCTCAAGTTTTGTTAGACTCAGTATGCAGTGTAACGAATAATACTTTCCTAAGCTTCATTAGAAAGTAAAAGCCAGAAATTCACTGACTCTTCTAAAAGTGCAATGTAACAAATAAAACTGACGAAACCATAGGTGATTATGCAAAATTATTATAAGGGGTAATATATAATATGCCATTTTGGAGGGCATTATCATTTTGCAGAAGCCCGATGTCTTCCATTAACTGCCCGACGAAGGAGACCAGTTGAAAAGACCGAGAGCTTCTGCAAATGATAATCCAAAAATATATTGACCGTTATTATGCTAAAATACATGGAATATGTGTTGAAAACAAAAGAAACAATGAAGGAATTTGACTGTAAGTTTACCCAAATCAACTTCTGACGGGGTTGACTGCCCGAGATGCAATTACCGTCATCGAACAATTCAAGGTGTCGTCAACAGAAAGTGACGATATTCGACCTTGGCCTTTGACAAGACCATAGCCTGCAATATGTCAAACTATGTCAATGTTCGGTTTTGGTCCATCAACAGCCTTAATAGTGCAATTGTTAAGGTTAGCACCAACAAGAAAGCCAATATTACCGCTATTTAAAGCGGGAATTCGGGTTGCTTTGACCTGTTTGACACAGAATATCTGCCAGTCGAAAACCAATTAATGTCGAATGAACCGTAAGCCCACGCACCCACTATGACGTCACTTGACAACAGAACTGATAGTGGCCCGTCGTTAAGGTTGAGCGGTCCAATATCATTTGCAGCGGCCCGCAAATTTCTGATAATGGGAGGGCCGTTTCATGATAATTCCATGTATTTTAGCTATAAAGAGACAATATATAACGACCATGACGTAGTTGAGGTCACAGAACAGTCTAGTAAACTTAGGCTCAGTATTATTCGTTACACTGCTATACTGAGTCTAACAAAACCTTGAGGAAGGTCGCGTCAGGTAACCTTTGAGCGACCTATGACCGTCCAATCAAACGCGAGACGACAGAACGGATTTAACCAATCAGACAACGGCTATTATTTAGGGTTCGGCGGGACTTACAAAATGGATTTACTCTTGCCCTGTCGCCAACACTGATCTCACAACAAATGAAAACCTGCATACAACACAGATATATGACCTGCAGAATATACACTTTTGGGTTTCTGTTGACATGGTTATCATTAGCTAATATTTTCCGCAAGCCGACATCCTTGAATACTGACAAAATGCTATTTTCAGCGACTGTTTACTCACGGTTGTGGCGTGCTCCATGTGCATCACTCGGAAGCGATCTTACGGAAAATAGCATTCGGAATCGTTCGGGTACAAAATTGTTTCGAGGTAAAAGTTCACAAGGTATGTGCGAATGTCAACTTTCGTGATTTGGTAAGCTGTGTTCTGATTGGTTAATTGAACAGGTTACCTGACGCAACCTTCTGCGGCCTCAACTACGTCATGGTCGTTATATATTGTCTCTATAATCTTGCATAATCACCTATAGTTTCGTCTGTTTTATTTGTTAAATTGCACTTTTAGAAGAGTCAATGAATTTCTGGCTTTATATGAACTGCAACAACACTGGTGTGGCGTCGTCATCGTTGTCTAAGTATGGCTTAAATATATAATTGTTGAGTAAGAGAAGTGAAGGCACACTCCAGTGTTAGAGATACAGCTTTGTTTGACGAATAGCAATCGTGAGAAGTGCAACAGAAGAATTTCAACCATACACAACATGGTATACGCTGTATATCCTGCATCACTTGTGATATAGTCAGATGGCCTAAACTGTTCGTGTACTGGGTGCGATCTCGATCAGCGTAAGGGCACTCGGGTACGCTTAATAAGTCAGCCATAAATCTCCAAAAAGACTTGAAGGGGGAACGAATAGAACTCATTTGGTTGACGATATGTGTTCAGACAAAAACTTTGTTCATTCGTTTGATCCGTATATGATACAAGTGCTGATAACAGAATACGAAGAGGTCATGGATAACAGGCCATGTAAGGCGCCGCAATTCGCTGTTCAGAGTTGCGTCCCTTGGGTTTGTTGTTTCACCAAAGTGGTAACCTCGTGAGATCTAAATCCGGCTCTCCCCGACATTAAACTGAAACGCTGTGATATAAATACAGTACTGCGGCGTTAAACAGTATTCAATCATTCACTCACTCGCACTCACTCACACTCGCACTCGCACTCGCACTCGCAGTCGCAGTCGCACTCGAACTCACACACGCACTCACACTCACACTCGCACTCACACAATCACCCAATCCAGTCTGGTGTCACTGTACATCCTTGTTTGTTTCAGCTTTATCACAGATACAGCATATAAATATTAGTTAAATGTCGAAAGTAACTAATCAACGATTTTAACTGTAAGTATTAGATATTCTTGACAGGAATACCGCAGGACACAGGGGCGGATCCCCCTTCTCCCCCGAAAACAATCCCTGAGGTGCATTTACCTCTAACCTTTGGACTTCATGATGTTTATGTATCCCCCACCCACCCTCCTCCCCAGCCCCATTCTCCTCCTCCTCTCCATAATCCTTGATGCGGACCTGGGACAACTACACCCACTGACAGGCCGTATGGATGACCCATATACATAAACAGGGAGATACCCAGCGGTGAGCTCTTGCAACTATCAAGTTTGTGGATGTGTTATCACATTTCTAACCATTGTCAAGTCCACCAGACTGCCGGCGATTGAGTAAGGGACTGAACTCTGCAGGTAGGCGATGGATGAGTGCATTTCTATAACTGTACGACGTTCTGTTACCAGGCACCAGGCATGACCATAGATCTGGGAAAATTGGTGAATTTGAAACTTTAATCGTTGGTGTCAGTTTAAGTCGGAGATGACAAGGTCAAACACATTATACCAGCTTCCAACATGTTCCTTACCCGTAGGTTACTTCATCGTAAGGTTCAACCCTACAGGGACTTTGTTAAGAAGGGAAAGATGAACAACAGATATTAGTTTCAAAGCTGTATATATTGTGAACGTTGACTGCTGTATCTTGCTTCTAGAGGCCATGACGAGGCAGTATTACATCGTTAGTGATGTAAGTAGTTCACTGTGGTGGTAATGTACATAGCTGGCGAGGGTAATTGTAACTGATTACATGCTAAAGTTTGGTTGTTTATATCTGTGCTGTTAACGCCGCACTCCATCAATGCTCCGGCTATGTGACGGCAGTTTAAATAATAGAGTAAGGACGAGAACATCTAGTGACTGACATCATGAGCATCGATCCATGAAATTGGGCAAGTCGGGCCACCCGATCCCGTTTTCCTTCCTGAGACAAGAATGGGTTTCTGAAGACCAATTCTAATTCAGGTCCTGACGGGTAATAGTCTGTGATGCCTTGGCTGGGATTATCAAACAGGCGTTCATTAGTGATTTAATATAGATTGTACTCACTGCATGCAAGGAGTCCAAGATTCAGTGACCTTGACCCTTATATACACACGTCTCCTTCATTTTTCTTTGTGTGTGTGATGTGTGTGTGTGTGTGATATATGTATGTGTGTGATGTGTGTGTGGTGTGATGTGTGTATGTGTGTGTGTGTGTGTGCGTGCGTGCGTGCGTGCGTGTGTGTGCCCCATCGGTTTCATCACTAGACTTTTCTGCCCTGACCACCACTACTCGTAATCAAAGCCTGGAAAAAACTAATTACCTTTTGAAACAATCTTCGACTTTATTTCAGCTCGGTTGTTTGTTAGCCATTATGTGCATTTTACTATAAATGTTACAGGACATAAAGCTCATTTGAATTCCACATCACACAGCATTTTTGTTCCAACTCGTAAATTCCTAAAATGAGGACTACTTATCAAGCATTACTCACTAAAACGATTACACATGCTTCCTTCGGTGAACATCTGCCATTTATAGATACACTGTCACCGTGTGTTATAAACCTTTGCTTATCTGAGATTTTGTTATTGTCTGCATACGTATGAACACTGCGACCGTTCGACATTTGCTGTCGTTGGGAGTAGCGCCATGGGCTGATCCTGAGTAAGCGTGTTGTTTCATCAATGTAATCCGAAATCTGTCATGGTTGTTATTGAAATGTTGTATCTATCAGCTACACTGAGAGAAACATCTACAAGTCATCTAAGGTCGAATACTTTTCAGTTAGGCAACATTCGTTTCGTTGCAGTGTGGTTGTTAACCGTTATTCTATCATCATGCCGATGTGTGTGTTGTACACCAATCTGAAGGATACTGACATCCCCCCACAACTGGAGACCAGACTCGCAGAGCTGATTGCTAAAGTCCTGGACAGACCCATGGAGGTAGGACACATGCTCACGCAACCAATATGTAAAATGAGTGATTTTAGATTTACGCTGCTTTAGGCAGTATTCCAGCAATATCACACCAGGGGACACCAGAAATGGGCTTCAAACCACGGTCTTAGGCGTGGCGAGCGAACGTTTTATACGCTAAGCTACCACGCCACCCCACAACCAATATGTTCAGTTAAGGAGTTAGATATAGAAGCCTTTCCTATTTGTAATTGATGGTTAACAGTCGAAAGAAGCAATAGAATCTATTTTGTGAGCAGTTTTGTATCTAGCATGAAGTGGTTCCCGTCTGAAGTTAGTTGGAAAACATAGATCTCATTACTGTTTCAAAAGCAAGTGAGTGAGTGAGTGAGTATGGTTTTACTCCGCCTTTAGCAATATTCCAGCAATATCGCGGCGAGGGACACCAGAAATGGGCTTCACACATTGTGCCCATGTGGGGATTTGAACCCGGGTCTTCGGCGTGACGAGCGAACGCCTTAACCACTAGGCTACCCTACCGCCCCCATCATAGCCAGACTGGTGTCAGCAGCACATACTTTCTCTCAACTACCGCGTAGTCAGGTAGCATTTGGTTAACACACTACCCATGCGAGGAATCGAACCCAATTTCTTCGGTGTGAAGAGACCCTTTAACCCCAAGGTCGTTGACTGGAAAGTACGGTTGCAAAATACTGTCAATACATCTTCATAACAATCACCTGAAGTCCAAAAACACATTATCTCCGAAAAATGAAAGCAAAAACACGAACGAGTTGAGTTCCACATCAACAGTATTCTCTATGTAGGAATATTCTATAGCCAAACACTGTTTGGTATCAGCGATAATCATTCTAAGCTCGCAAACCATTATTGTGAACAGCAGTGCTAATTCAGCACATCGCTTTTAAGAGCATTATTGAGCGAGTCATTGGACACTGTGCATTAGCGATCCTTACATGTTGCGGGGTAATGGCAAGGTCAACAGCAACGCCGCTAGGTGTAGGACCCAAGCAGCACTCTGATAGAGATGCAAAACAACGACCACACCCGTCCTTATTAGTGATAATTTTCACAAGCCATTGCCATCAAGGTTCAACATCCTACTACAGGAAAAAGGATCATTGTATGGCAAATATTTTGATGTCATTCAAGAAGGAAAGGCAACCATTAACCGTTAACGTATTAACTCAAAGTCAGACGTATCCGTCATTCAAGACTAGCATGTTGATTTAGTAATCAAAGCTTAAGTACCTGTAGTTTCACGTACGTAAGCCATATGTTAAGAAAACTGTGTTAAAGCTATGTATGGGACGGTGGGGTAGCATAGTGGTATCCCCATGGGTACAATTAGGACGTCTCTGAAATGAACATATTTTTACTGAAAAAAGTTCATAGTAAAAAAATATATAAATGAAAAGGGGCCCTGAGACTTTCTTCATTTTCAGAAGCTGAGGAAATCTAGACTTGCCACATTTCTAGTTGTGTGGGCTTTCTTGGATATATTTGCTCTCTGTACGAGAGACTAGGGGTCAATGTGTTAAGCTCTTTCTGGTGACCCCGCCGTGATATTGCTTGAATATTGATAATAAACTAAACAAACGAACTAATAAAGATGCTTTAAAGATAAAGGAACTCTATCTGAATATCCAGTTAATGTTAGCGGGGTTATCACAAGTGCTGATTGAACTTGATCCAATATTCCGTACCACTGGCCATAAACCACACTGTTGATAACAGTCTGAAGGTTATGTGTTATAAATAAACTCAAAACGTCAACAAACACTTTCATTTGATTCATCATTTGTGTTTGTTAAAAACTAAACCCGTGAAATTCCAGTTTAGAATTGTTTTTCAGTAACCCATGCTTGTCGTAAGAGGCGATCATGATCGGCTGGTCAGGCTCGCTGACTTGGTTGACACGTGTCATCGGTTCCCAGTTGCGTAGATCGATGCTCGTGGTGTCAATCGCCGGATCGGCTGGTCAGGCTCGCTAACTTGGTTGACATGTGTCACCGGCTCCCATTTGCGTAGATCGATGCTCGTTGTGTCAATCGTCGGATTGGCTGGTCAGGCTCGCTGACTTGGTTGACACGTGTCATCGGTTCCCATTTGCGTAGATCGATGCTCGTGGTGTCATTCGCCGGATTGGCTGGTCAGGCTCGCTGATTTGGTTGACACGTGTCATCGGTTCCCATTTGCGTAGATCGATGCTCGTGGTGTCAATCACCGGATCGGCTGGTCCTAGTATTTACAGTCCACCGTCATGTACCTGGAATGCTGCCGAGAGCAGTGTTCAACAGCAAACACATGTTATGGACTACTACGAACACGGGTCTTCAACTATCAATAATCCTATCGTTGTTAACCTTCAACTTAATCAGGAAGATCTGAAGGTTCATTTTGTAAGAATGAATCGTTCATATATCTAAATACACAGTTTGCTTTGGTGATAAGGATGAATTAGTTTCACCGCAAATAGAACACATTAATAGGCCTGTCAACTATTCACCTGAAACAATCACAGTACTCACTGTATCCGCAGATCAGGAGTTTGAATTGCCCTTGTTTCACAGCATCCTATACATGGATTCGTTGTGTCACCCTGTTGCAGTGGCTCAACGTGGTGATCCTGCCTGGACTGCGTCAGTTCCGCCTGCACAACACCGACCCTGCCTGCTTCCTCCAGATCACCTGCATCGACGCTTTCGACAAGGACAGTAACCCGACCTACACACCACCCATACTGGACTTCCTGAAGACCAACCTCAAGCTTCAAGCTGAAAGGTCAGGGGTCCCTTATGACATTCTTTGATCGTATCTGATCTTTTTAACACTTTGTTAAAGGCGGACTCGCTGTCTCATTCATAGGTCTTTGCATTGCATGGGGACAAACTTACTTCAGGTTTTGTTTATTTCGGGAAGCAACACCAGATTCAGCATCAAAACTTTAGTAAAGCCTTTATCCGAGAGACGGAAATATGGACCTTTGAGATCGTATTCTCAAATGTAACGGTTTGGGATTCGACAAAAAAACCCCATAAAAACATGATGTGTTCAGTGATTCATAAATTAGTTTTTAAAGGAAATTCATACAGTGTCTCTGTGTAACTGAAGGGTAAAAAAGTAACTGCTACATTCTACTTGTTGTAGAAGCACGTTCACAGACAAAGCTATTGATTCATTAATCTGTGCTGTGCCGTCTCCACCCGTTCTCGAACACCTGGCTGTCCCTTTCTCTGCACTCCTCCCTCGTAACAAATAGTGAACGGTGTCAATATTTAAATGATAGATTGTTAAACAACTTTTTTATTTTTAGGACAAAAAGTCTGCAAAAAACTCACAGAGTTGGTCTGATGTTTTGATTATGATCAGCGTTTCATTGAGTATTTTATGTTTATTAGTTTTCGAGTTAGATTGCATTTCATCGGTCCGCTTTTGAGCCAAACGGACTATAACCGAGCTGCTTTTAGTGGTATTCCTAAACTACCAGGGCAGGGGATAGCTTCACACACTAACCCCAGGTGGGGAATCGAACCTGGATCTCCGGTATGAGACAAGCAACACTTTATAAACAATCCATAACAAACATCCCAAATATCAACTAAGTCTAAATACACAGTTTAAGACCTGTCTTGTTTCTCAGTAGAGTCAAGACTGTTTTATCTTATCATTTGCGTTTTATGTATTAAAATATGTGCAATATGAGCCATAACAAGACCACACGTGTTTGTTTCAGAATACTCATCCAGTATCTACGGGCAGAAAAACACCAGTTTAATGTATAGTCCAGGATGACAACGTTGCTTAGGGCGTTACATTCTGGACTAGGCTCTGCCAACAGCAATACTCGGATACCATTGTTTCATCGATGGCCTATCAATCAGACATATCAACTGGTATAGCACCAGTGACATTTACTACTCCTACTACTACTATTTACAACAAACTACTACGTATTTAAGCAGTCTTTCTTTCGTACTTTCCTTGGACACTAACTGGTGTTTATATTTCCTAGACGAATTTGTCTGGTTTTCTGTGTCGTTTGCTTTGCGCTCTGTAATAGACTTACGTAGGAATTGTACAAAACCTGTGTACTTGTTACATAGCAATTTGTTTAACAGAGTCGTATGTTCTTCGTTGGCGTAGTGCAAACAAAACTAGTGAAACTCATATAATCCTGCCCCTGAAGCGAGCAAAAACAGAAGACAAGAACATGAATGCTCAACTCTTGGAAACAAACTTATATTACAGGGGTGTTATTGCTAGGCTCGTGCAAGTGTAAATTTAAAAGTAACTGAAATTACTTGTCACAATAATAGCTAGGAATGGTATTTTTCCGGCCTGCTACATCATTGAATCAATTACGTTATCAAAACGTGCTTGGGGGTTTGTTATTCTAAAACAAATTATGAGATCATCTCGCTCGATGGTCACGAGGTACAAATGATATTACACATATGATAATCCTTAACAACATAAATATTTGTTTGGCAATGTCATTCAGTAGCGTTTGTTACAAAACTTAAAATACTCCAACATTCATTTTATCTTGATGCCTGTCGAGTCTTTTACGACGTACTGGACCAGGACAACTGTTATGTTAGTGCGGCGTAAAATAACATTCGTTCACTTGAGTGTTGTGTTGTAGGACTGTAACGATGCTTCGAACTATGGATTACAATTGTTGAGTCTCAGATAGCAATTAATCGATGGTAGAAACGAAAACTATCGATAGTATGAGTGACTATCGACAGTTTAGTAATTTGCACAGTGCAAAATACAGGAAGTACTAGATTCGTTCACTTTGAATTAGAGTTATCCGCCCCTGTTACATCTTAAACACACTTGATCTGCGTTTCAGGTTTCATGTGAGTTATTAAAAGAGACTGAAACTACTGCAGCTTGTTTGTATTCCATATAAACTATACATTCATTAGGGAAATGACTTCAGATGAGACAATTCAAGGCGAGAGAAAACACTATTGCAATAGTTTGTCGCAATAGACTATCGCTATCACAATAGTTTGTTTCCGCAATACTGACTGATGACTATTGCAATTAGTTTTACCCGCTTTTAGCAATATTCCAGCAATATCGCTATAGTTGTTTCCCCTCAACAGCCACCCCTAATTGATAGTGTTTTAAATGGTTTGTTGGTCAGGAGAAGCAAGACATGTTTCAACATGCCACATGGAAAGACTTGAGGATGCCTAAACCTTACAGCTTTCGCCCAGCAGAGGGAAGATAACAGTTCCACGTGGAATTCACCAAAATGTTCTCCCTCAAAAGTCAGGCAATATGCACCATTAAAGTCGTGAGGCTCATTTGGTAATAAAGACGTGTTTGTTTCAGAATCGTCATCCAGTACTTACCTGGGGAACCGCATATGTTCGGCCTAGCGTCCTAGTACAGCGCCACAGTTACTAGTTGCTATGACAACACTATTTAAGATAGCATTATCGAAAGTATGAATCGTTAAAGTAGTACATGTGTCCTTGCAGGTCGGATCAAGTTACTAGTTTCAGACAACGCTGTTATAGGTATGATTCTTAGCCATTGTCCAACCATTTTTTCTGAGTAAACTTATTGACTTATAACCAAACTGTGCAATAAAAATTAATACACTAATGATTCTGTGAATTATTGCGATATTCGACCAGCAGACGTGAAAGAAGAAATGGAGATGAGGTGAAATGGTGAGTGAGTGAGTTTAGTATTACCCCGCACTCAGCAATATTCCAGCTATACAGCGGCCGTCTGTAAATAATCGAGTCTGGACCAGACAATCCAGTGATCAACAGCATGAGCATCGACCTGCGCAAATAGGATACGATGACATGTCAACAGTCAGCGAGCCTGACCACCCGATCCTGTTGGTCGCCTCTTACGACAAGCACGAGTTACTGAAGGCACAGGGGCGTGTCACGCTTAGAAACAGCGTTAGAAAGACACATAGGTATATAGACCCTACCCTAGTACTACATAAAAGGAAAGGGATGTAACGACGGAACCACCCCCTCCTCAATCTAAGTTAGATTTCACCACGTAAACTATTTTAAGACCCCGCCGAGGCCTACGGATCGAAAGCGAGATAATTTCCCTACAAAATGAGCTATGAATGGTCACAATCGGATCATTATTTCAAAAGTTATACGCCACGACTCGCCGAAAACAGCTACCTCCGCAATTCCAAGTCAAAATCATTACATGGATCACCCAAGACAGCGAAAACTCACCTTTCAAATTCGTTTATTAATTCCAGCCACGTTGACAGCACCTATGTAGGGCTAGATTCGATCGGCAGCGGCATTCCACGGGTCTAAAAACTTATTGCAACATCTACCAATCATTTCAGGGGCCTTAAAAATAGTTTACATGGTGAAATCTAACTTTGATGAGGAAGGGGTGGTTCCGTCGTTACATCCCTTTCCTTTTATATAGTACTAGAGTAGAGTCTATCTTAAAACAAGCATAGGTTACTGAAGATCAATTCTAACCCGGATCTTCACGGGTTGGCATTAAGTGCTGCCAGAGCTTTGTGAAAGGGGCGCAGGTCGAATAATTTGTACGTATTGTTTCTCCCTGTGGGCCCGTGAAGATCCCGGTTAGAATTGGTCTTCATTAACATCATTGTCGTGGGAGAAGACTAACAGGATCTACCATTGCTGAGAAGACTAACAGGATCTACCATTGCTGAGTGTGGTGTTAAACAAAACCAATTCTCCTTGTGTTACTGCTGTTTATAGGTTATCTGTATGTACATACAAAATTCGGATTTGGATACTTTTTAAGTGTTTTCACATTCCATTGCATTAGTGAGTGAGTTTAATTTTACGCCCCACTCAGCAATATTCCAGCTACAGTCGAGCACCGTTGTGTCGAACTCTGATATCTCGGTTGTCTCGATATAACATCTCGGTCCCGGCAAAATCCTTCATAATTTATCATTATTCAAGCTCTTTTAACTCGATACGTATGTCTCGATATTTCGGATATCTCGATATAATTTCATGGTCCCAACAAGCAAAATTACCCTTTTAACTAGATATTTGCAAAGAAACTCGATATTTACCTACCTTTCATTGGCAAGTATCCGTCTGAACGGAGGTTGTTTCCACACGGTGCGGCATGAATCAAAGGGATGCGGTAGTGTAAACTAATTAGGGCTAATTGAGTTGAAGGTGTCGCTTGTTTGTTATGTAAGTAGGATTAATTAAGAAGGAAATAATTAGGAAGTATTCACTGTTACGACTAAACACGACTGAGAAGCGAATCAAAACATACTGAGAAGCGTTTTGTTTTCTTTCATAGTGATATGTGACAATATGCCCTGGTCAGATGTCTCGAAGTTCGAATAACTCGATATTTTTTCTTAGTCCCATGAATATCGAGACAACAGTGGTGCTCGACTGTATATACAGCGGTTTGAAAAAAATCAAGTCTGGTTCAATGCATTAAACGGAATGACCAGGATGCATGTGCAGTTTCAGGGTTATTGTGATTGCTAATCATGATTGAAAGTTTGTCCTGTGATTATCATTCATAATTCTGAAAAACCAAAGCAATGGTGCACAAGATTTATGTCTGTGTGCTGTGTGCATGCATTTAATTTTGTGCCAAGACACTGCATATTTCGGTTTATATGAGGGCGGCATGTGGAGGGTTGAATCTGAACCGGACAAACCAGTGATCAAAATTGTGAGCACAAGATCCACAGCCTGTTTTTCCAGATGAAAGTAAGATTTACACCAAATGACCCCAAGTAGAGGATAAAATGGAAGAATAGCCAAGCAACTATATCCATTACACATGCATTAGATCATTAGACATACTGCAAATTAAGTTAAACCTTAAGGAACAAGTTTTTATGGATAACAACTTCTTTATTTCATGAGAGCGACGTTTCGATACAGATTCTTGTACTGTTGTCACTCTTGCTTGACAACGGTACAAGAATCTGTATCGAAACATTGCACTCACGAAATAAAGAAGTTGTTATCCATAAAAACTTGTTCCATATTGTACATCTCAACTTCTAAAAATGCCACTCAAACAACTTAAACCTTCTTGGACATTTTGCCAATATATATCCTTTGAACAGTTGTGAATCAAGTCGGATAACTGATTATAGATTATATAAGATTAGTATCACATTGCTTACAAATATATATGTTTCATCTAAACAACAGTACAGGAGAGGCTTTTATAAATGGCTGGACTATATGGAAAAATACAGTGCCTATTCTTTCGGTCAGGTAAATATACCCCATTCAGAACACAAATAGAAACCTAAATAATATCTGTACAGTTTTATTATGTCACATATACACTTCATTCAATTATTGACACACAATGGAAAAATATTTAAATAGCATCGTTCATCATTTCATTATTCCTTTTTACAGTAATTCCATGTTTCTATTGAATATGCAAAGTACTTCATTCAAATCTTGATAATTCACATCAATGGGTTCTAATATATTACTAAAATGTTAAGGACAACCCAGTTCTTTCATACCATAGTAATATGAGAGACTCGAGTCATCCCAGTTATTTATGCACTATGAATGGAAACCTGCATATAAACACATACATGAACAATTTCAGCCTCCATACAAACATCAAGATGACCACAGCTGTTTGTCTCAAATACCAAGGATAAACCATTGAGACATCATTTCTACATAGCTATTTTGGAAACACTTTGAACCTGCTATCCAAGAAAATAAAAGAATACATAAATGTGATATGAAAAGTAATATTTCTTTTAGGATGAGTGTGATGAAACGTTTAGTGATTCAGAAAACGTAACAGTCTTTTTCATTTTTTCTGTGTTTCATTCAGCCTACAAATCTTTACAGAATCATCTTAAAAACATAGAAAAACCCACCATTACATTTTGGTGCAAAACATTTCACCGCAATAAATAAGAAATAGAGGGTTTTCTTCAAATAAACATTCTTGGCCACCTCACACTGGAGATATGTGAGGGAATATATTATCTACAATTTACTTATGTGCAAGAATAGGATGTTTTAATTTACATCTATTTTATGTACAGATAGATACAACACAGAGCATAGCACTTGAAAGGGGGACAAAATACAGACATATTTACATAGTCATTACATAAGCACTTTTTAATTTTAGCATTATTCCAGCAATATCTCAGTGAGGGGACGGCACAAATGGGCGTCACACATTGTACCAAAGAGGGGAATCAAACACGAGTCTTTGGCATGGTGAGCAAATACTTGAACCACGAGACTAACTCGCCGCCCATCAGCGATGTGAAACACCTAATTCTAACATATCTTGTTAAAAAATGATGTGCTTTCAAACCATTGTGACATCTTTTTTAAGAAATAACTGTGGAGCTTTGAAAATTATTTCCATTACACCAGTGTTGTAGCTTTGGAGGACAGCTAGAGTGATCTACATTCAATGCACCCAGCCGGACTACTTGATCCTGTTGGTCAGCTATGAAAACCAGCACAGCTCAGCAATATTCCAGCTATATGGCTGCGGTCTGTAAATAATCGAGTCTGGACCAGACAATCCAGTGATCAACAGCATGAGCATTGATCTACGCATTGCGATAGGATGATATGTGTCAACCAATTTAGCGAACCTGACCACCCGATCCCATTCGTTGCCTCTTACAACAAGCATGGGTTGCTGAAGACCAATTCTAACCCGGATCGCCACAGGTCTGTTTGGTTGGGACCCGTTTCAACAACCTCCAGTAAAGGGTCATGTGAATAATGCTATGGCAACAACAAAGACAGGAATTACATAACTTTGTAGTAGTTGCAGAAATTAACAGAAGTTGTTTTATTGGACTGGACGACCTGACTGACTGACACTGGCATCTGCGCTCACTTGCACAAAGCGTCCTTAGCGCTACAATGACCCTAACTTCCATTCTCCAACATAGGCCTAAGACAGTCGTAGCACTAAGGTCACTTTGTGCAAGTGGGCCCTGGTGACGTTGGGTAGTTGTAGAAATAAATAGAAGCAGTGCGACCACAGGACTCATGTCTGTAGCAAGTTGAGGAGGGCATCAAAGAACTTGCTCCTGTCGTCTGTCTTCATCTCCATCACTGAAACACGAACAGGAAATCTCGTCAGCAGATCACAGGCCTTTATTATCAATTCATTAATACAGTCCACAATACAGAGTCTTTGATATGGCCGGACCAATCAGGGCCTCAGATCTTCAATCAGCCAAATCCTGGCACAACTAAGGGACACAACTCCACACCGATTTGTAAGTATTTGTCCACACGACCATCCATTCTCATTCAAGTATCATTATAGCATTGTATCACAACACTGCTGATAGAGATGTCAACCCAAAATGAAGCTCTGGAGCATTCAGTAGGGTACGAAGTATATTCATGTGAAAAGGAGTTAACAGAACCATTAGTGTTCCAGCACACCAAAGATTGATCAATAAAAAAGACAAGGCTGTGTATACACAACAACTACTAAGAGACCTCATATGATGAGTAACGGATATCTTAACAATATTTGAAATGAAAGTTTGACAGCATAGTATTTCGGTAAAATTTCATGTAAATAATTTCATGACAAATAAGACAAAAACTACATTTTAAAGTGCAAGTTTAGGCTAATTTAGGCACATTTATAACTGTTGTCCATTCTGTATTGTGATTATAAATCTTTAAGATTGATACAAGAAGCTGAACATGATTCCACTAACACCAAGATACTAATATGACCTTCCTACCATGTGAGTCAAAATAGTCGTGGTGAGTCCGGGAGTTGGTGCTGCTTGCCGCTTGTTCAAAGGCCTTTCCAAAGAAGCTGGAATAAATATGCATTAAACCATTATACACTACAAATAAATCAGTTAGAAAGCCTTAACTGAAAGTAAGCTGCTTTAGTTTAAAGTAATACTGAAGAGTTGACACATGCACATATCATTTGTAGACCCAGACAATTTCCATATCAACTTTTTCCTTATAAAGTTAAAATAATAACCCCAAATTGGTAGATGAAGTGGTTCAAATGGCCACCTCGCACTAATTTTGAGCATCATTGTTGAATAATTTCGTGCTTTGAAGTTTACACATATTCCCGAATGTTGGTTGGTTCAGAGAGCTGTCATGTGATCTAAATTTCAAGGTTCATTTCCCTTGAACCCTTCCAATCGTTCAAAAACAAAATAAATCATTTGCATTCACACTCCTTTTAATTTATACATATCACTTACTTGTTTTTGAACGTAACAAAAAGCTCAAACTGAGCACAGTTTTGCAAAAATCTGACCGACAACGCGTCCGACAACAAGTCAGGATTGGTAAACTCGCTCGTTCACACGAGTTTGAACAACACTTTGATATCGTTCATTTTTCACTGCAAACACACAAAGTAACATTCAATTCTTAACTCCTGTCTCAGCAATCACTGACAATGTGACACAGACTCACTTTTTCCTCTCGTCGTCCAGCTCCAGCGGAGGGATGCCGATCACCAGTGTCGTCCCCTGCTCTGTGTTGAGGGGGGCACCCAGCACTAGAGGCAGCGTCCTCGCCTTCTTACTGCGACTCTGCCAACAGCAACATCACTGGTGACTTAAGATAAATACCAGGGATTTTGAACAAATCAACAGAGGAAGGCAAATTTGTAAAAACAGGAATCCATGTAAAAATAAGAACTTCAAAAGTCTTATATTTTTCTAATTTCTCTGATACTTATATGCTAAAATGTAAAGCTGAGGTTCTGAAACATTTAATTTTATAAGAGGTCATGTTGTCAGTAAAACACAAGTCACCTTTGCAAGTATTGGTCATCATAGTAGTATGATTACACAATGCCATTTAGAAAGTGGTAAATGTTACATGTGTTACATTTGGGATTACACTTTCTTAGTAAAGTACAAATTCCAGTCCTTGTTTTTTTGGGTTTTTTTAGGCGGCTGACTTTGTGTGCTGGCAATTGGGTGCCTGACTCTGAGGGTGTGAGTTCGAATCCCGGATGGGGCTCAACTCAAAAAAAAAAAAGAAAAAAAAAAAAAAAAAAAAAAAGGACTAGAATTTGTACTTTACTAAGAAAGTGTAATCCCAAATATAACACATGTAACATGATAGTAGTAACCTGTGTTGGGTAATTATCAGTTAAAATTTCTGATTTTTGTTGGGCTGTCAGAATGCCTTGTACTTTTGCTCACTTACTCACTTCCACGCCATTCGAGCACCTGCTTGCTCTAAGGTGGCACTAAGAACCCACACATAGTGGAAGTTAATTCTAAAACACAAAAGTTTTTACACAATTATTATATGTCTTTATGAAAACATTATTCTCACCACTGAGCAGTGTGCTTCAAGTGTGAACCGAGCCAGCCGAATCAGGCAGTTGACTTTGGAGAAAAACTTCACATCTGCCGTTCCCTGAAATACGATAAAACAGATGAATGTAAGCTACTAGTATGTATCATGTGTAATGAAGTACTCGAATATAAGCCTCATCTGCAGTTCCCTGAAATACGATAAAACAGATGAATGTTAGCTATGTATGTTGTAATACATGTTACTAAGAGCCTAAATATCAGTATCATCAGCACTAAAACTGTTTTGAGCAAATAAAACAGTATTACATTATTATTTATTATTAGGGCCAGACCAATTTCATTTCTTGTTTTACAGATTTTTTGTCCTCAGAAAACCTAAAGGCAGGAGGGAAAACTAATAAAAATAAATTCACCAGTTAAAGTGACATTCCTTCTAAATATTAAAAGTATTTTGCTTCTGGCAATGTATGAAGTGTATATGGGAAAAAAAACCCAATCCCCATATATTTTCTTGTAAGTTTACATTTTAGGCCAATAAAAACATAAGGAACATATTTTTTGAGCGGGGAAAATGTATTTTTTCTCTCTTATTCTTGAAAAAATATGGCTCTTATTCTTGAAAAAATCCTCGGATCCAGTAAAACAAGAAATAAAATTGGTTTGGTCTTATTATATGATATTTGTATAGTGTCAATATCCAGCTCAGCACAGCTGCTCAAAGGCACTTCATTTTTTCCCTCAATTATTGGCTGTCCATCTCAACTCCCTGGGGATCATACAACTCTTGCAGCCATTTAGGCGCACCAAGTTAATGTGTCTTTCCCATCCCATGAGGTACCCATTCACAGCTGGGTGCACTGGGACACATAGTCACAGTATTTTGTCCATGTTTACTGCATGTTGCTGTACCCTCAACTAGGTGTTTGCACATATTCATGTGGCCACTATCTGGTCATTTACTAACGGATTTGTAGGTTCTGTTAAGTGCACAGCGTTGTGTACTCTACACTAGGGGTTGTGACAACACTGAAAGCGTCTGCACACAAAGTTGTCTCCAAGGTTTTTACATCTGGTCACAGGTGGGCTCGATCCCGGCACCTCAAGCTCGCTGGATCACTAGCCTGGCACCTTAGATCGCTCACCTACCGTACCCCATGATTACAGATGTATTAAGTGTAGGGGAGCATATCAGTTATGTAACTGCTACCGATGACTCACCTCCTGTATAAGGGCGTAGAGGAAGGGTCCAGCAGAGATGACCTGATGCATGTCCAGGAATGTCTGGACCTGAGTGACCACAGCCTTCAGCTGACGTTTAGCCAATTCAAGTCCCTTCTCTAAAGCGGCCACATTTGACCTGAAACAAATGACTGACTGACTGAGTTTAGTTTTACGCTGCTTTTAGCAATATTCCAGCAATATCACGGCGGGGGACACCAGAAATGGGCTTAACACATTGTGCCCATGTGGGGAATCGAACCCGGGTCTTCGGCGTGACGAGCCAACGCTTTAACCACTAGGCTACCCCACTGCCCCCTGAAACAAATGAAACCAAGATCAGATGCAGGAGGACTGCAGTGTTAACAGCGGTCAGCTTGTGAAAGGAAAATAGTACATTTAAATAAGCCTGTAAATAAACCTACGGATCAGACAAACAAGAGGCTGATGTTATGAACAACAATCAACACTTGGGGGTTCAACAACAAGCAGTCACATAAGTCACCAAGCCTGACCACCTGGTTCACTATGTTGACTTGTACAATGAGATGACAGTGGACAAATGTCATCCCATAGCGATCATCACCTCCAGTGAATGGGGTTGGTAACATAAGTCTACAACATGGGGTGTAAGATGAGGCTGTAGCGTAACATAGGGTGTAACATGAGGCTGTAACTTGACATGGGTGTAACACGAGGCTGTACCATTACATAGGGTGTAACACGAGGCTGTAGTATAAGATGGGGTGTAACACGAAGCTGTAGCATAACATGGGGCTGTAACATAACATGGGGTGTAACATGAGGCTGTAACATAACATGGGGTGTAACACGAGGCTGTAACATAACATGGGTTGTAACATGAGGCTGTAGCAGAACATGGGGTGTAACACGAGGCTGTAGTATAAGATGGGGTGTAACATGAGGCTGTAGCATAACATGGGGCTGTAACATAACATGGGGTGTAACATGAGGCTGTAGCATAACATGGGTTGTAACATGAGGCTGTAGCAGAACATGGGTTGTAACATGAGGCTGTAGCAGAACATGGGTTGTAACATGAGGCTGTAGCATAACACGGGGTGTAACATGAGGCTGTAGCATAACATGGGTTGTAACATGAGGCTGTAGCAGAACATGGGTTGTAACATGAGGCTGTAGCATAACATGGGTTGTAACATGAGGCTGTAGCATAACATGGGTTGTAACATGAGGCTGTAGCATAACACGGGGTGTAACATGAGGCTGTAGCATAACATGGGGTGTAACATGAGGCTGTAACATAACATGGGGTGTAACACCCTCCCCAACACGAGGCTGTAACATAAAATTGGTTGGAACACGAGGCTGTAACATAAAATGGGTTGGAACACAAGGCTGTAACATAACATGGGTTGTAACATGAGGCTGTAGCAGAACATGGGGTGTAACATGAGGCTGTAGCATAACACGGGGTGTAACATGAGGCTGTAACATAACATGGGGTGTAACATAACATGGGGTGTAACATGAGGCTGTAGCATAACATGGGGTGTAACACGAGGCTGTAGCATAACATGGGGTGTAACACGAGGCTGTAACATAACATGGGGTGTAACACGAGGCTGTAACATAACATGGGGTGTAACATGATGCTGTAGCATAACATGGGTTGTAACATGAGGCTGTAGCATAACACGGGGTGTAACATGAGGCTGTAGCATAACATGGAGTGTAACATGAGGCTGTAGCATAACATGGGGTGTAACACGAGGCTGTAACAAAACATGGGTTGTAACATGAGGATGTAACATAACATGGGGTGTAACATAAGTCTACAACATGGGTTGTAACATGAGGCTGTAACATAACATGGGGTGTAACATGATGCTGTAGCATAACATAGGTTGTAACATGAGGCTGTAACATAACATGGGTTGTAACATGAGGTTGTAACATAACATGGGATGTAACACGAGGCTGTCAAATAACATGGGTTGTAACACGAGGCTGTAAAATAAAATGGGTTGTAACACGAGGCTGTAAAATATCATGGGATGTAACACGAGGCTGTAAAATAACATGGGTTGTAACACGAGGCTGTAAAATATCATGGGTTGTAACAAGAGGCTGTAAAATATCATGGGTTGTAACACGAGGCTGTAAAATAATATGGAGTGTATCATGAGGCTGTAACATAATATGGAGTGTATCATGAGGCTGTAACATTACCTTCAAAACATCCTAATGCAATCAAATACCTGATGAGACCCTCTTTCCTGTAACTGGCAGGGCGAAATGTTTGTGCATGCACATAAATCATCAGGTCATTCTCACTAGCTGCATGAAAATATCTACAGACACCTACCTTGTTAGAATATCAACTGCATCAAGGAAACAATCATTGGGAGTCTTGCCTTTCTCCTACAACAGAACGACAGGTTCTGTAACAGTTTTTATCAGCCATGGATATAATTGATTAATTAATAGTTGACTACACTGGTATGAGAAATATAGTAACAGTAGGAAGGGAATAGCTGTACTTACAGTTCCTTCCAATACTGCACAGCATGCGTACACAGCGTCCGTGGCACACAGCTTGTTTCGGTAGCCATATTGGGCTGAGAATGATGGGATCACTATGTCCTGCATCACCAGCCTGGATGAAGCAATGTAAGAGTTATGCAGAAAACAATAATTATGTTAAACTCAGCATACGAGCTGGATAAGGGAGGAACGTCCAAAGTGAGGAAAGTACGAAACATTTAAATATTGGAGAAATAGAAAAGTGTGGATAAGGTATACAAATATATAGCGCCATGAGCATGCTTACGAGCATGGATTTGTGCGTACTATAAATAGGCACTATTATTATTATTATATTACACATGTCAAAGGGATACCAGGCTATGTGACATAACTTGAGAACAGCTTCTGGTGTACCTGAATTTTGAAATTTATTAACCTCAAGTAGAGATGAAAAACATGAGCCTTACTATATGGGATACTATTTTCATGACACCATCTCCAAGCAACCTTATTCCATTCTGAATATTCCTATCAAATGTTGTCTTGCATATTAACCTGAGTCAATACCCTTGACGTCCTGGTTCTCACCTTGGTGATGGGATAGCTCAGGGGTTAAAGCTTCGCTTGTCACGTCGAAGACTCTGGTTCGATTCCCCACATGGGTACAATGTGTGAAGCCCATTTATGGTGTCCCCCACCATGATATTGCTGGAATACTGCTAAAAGCGGCGTAAAACCAAACTCATCCACTCACTCACTGAATGCTTCAGTACAAATTTCGGCAGTTAGTTCCTCATGCCAGTCTCCACCAAAGAATAGCGGAATTAGTGAGTGAATGGTCTTAAGATACAGTTGTGCAGATTATGGTCTTGTCACCATATGGCCAAAACATAGCTGATGCTAACTGTTATGGCTACATTGTTACCATTACTAGTTATAAGCCTAGAGACCGCCTCCGTGGTGTAGTGGTTAGAGCGTCCGCCCGGAGAGCGGAAGGTCGCGGGTTTGATCCCCGACCGCGTCATACCAAAAGACGTTAAAATATGGTACTTGTTGGTCCCTGCCTGGCACTCGGCATTAATGGGTACAACAAGGACTGGTCAGCTCGGAGTCAGTATAATGTGTCTGAGTGGGGTATTCATGCTTCACTGCGGCATGGTATCTCAGTGGGCTAGCACTTTAAAACCAGCTTAAGTCTGGGCTACACACACATGCACGTCATCATATGAGCGAAATATTCTCAAGCATGACGTTAAACTCAATTTCACCTCACCTCACCTATAAGCCTAGACGCCACAAACTGCTTGAAACCGTGATTCGTGTATCAGCTTGCAGACAGGAGGCCTATGTACATTGGGGGACCCTAATTATACAGGGGGCCTTTCTAGACAAGCGGACACCATGCAAATGGGAAATCCTTTACAGACATTGGAACAGTATATGACACCTTTTGTAGATGGGACTTCATCAGACAGGAGACCTATGTAGACTAGGGACCCTAATTAGACATGGAGGCCTTTCTAGACAAGCGGACACCATGTAGATGGGAAATCCTTTACAGACATTGGAACAGTATATGACACCTTTTGTAGATGGGACTTTATCAGACAGGAGACCTATGTAGACTAGGGACCCTAATTAGACATGGGGACCTTTCTAGACAAGCAGACACCATGTAGATGGGAAATCCTTTACAGACATTGGAACAGTACATGAGACGTTTTGTAGATGGGACTTCATCAGAACAGTCAACCAGCAACTCCCACATTGATCCCCCTAGGTGAAAGAGATCGGTGATGGAACTTACCCATATTTGTTCATCTGGTCCTGTATCATGCCCTTGATGTTGCCCTTCAGCTCCGTGTCCATGGCTGAGAACTTCTGCTTGCACTGGTTCAGTGGCATCCTGAAGGAAGGAAGTGGATGAGTGAGGGAGGGCATAATGATTGAGTGACGCTTAATGCTGCTATGAACATTACATCATCAGGGATGGCAACAGCAAAATCTGTTTTAAATCTGAACTAATATTGTGTCATGGGATGGGGGGGTTCAATGACACAATTTATAACCAATTTACCTAGATAGCATACAGACGTTGGCCCAACGTTGGCAATGGTTTTGACAACATTGCCAACGTTGAATGCCAATCCTGTATGCTATCTAGGTAAATTGGTTATAAACTGACCAAATGGCACATCTAGGGATCATGCTAGAGATATGTACCAAGTTTGATGAAACTAGCATGTATAGTTTGGAAGATCTGCTACAGACAAGATGACATCCTCATAGTCACAGCTTAAATCACGTTTCCATGGAGCAGGGATGGCAACAAGAATATCTATTTTTAGTGGAAAACTTAATATTGTGTCATCAAATGGGGTTTTCTCAATGGATTTAGACGATTCACAATTGAACAATTTGACATAAAATCCGAGGAAATCAGCGGAAAACTGCCATCCCTGATGGAGACAGCAAAAACTAAAATTCATATCTGGGTCTAACCCCCAAAAGGCATCTAGGCATCATGGTTGACATGTGTACCAAGTTTGGTTAAGCTATCATCAATAGTTTAGGAGATATGCTTCGGACAAAAGTGTGACGGACACACGGACGGACCTTCGTTGTTGCGGGGGATAACAAAGACCACATGAATGGATGGACATGCTGATCGCAATAACCCAGGCAAATTTTAAAAACTGGGCAATTAAAGTGGAAACAAGTTTTAAGAATGCAGTTATCTGATTAAAGTCATGGTTTTATTCATCATTTTATCTGTTATTTTCTCACAGAACATCTGACATTACCCCATCTCTGCTAAGAACTCATTGAGTTTCTTCTGTCCCTTGAGCGTCCACACCTTGAACTTGCACGCCATCCCGACCGAGTGACAGATGGACTCAAACAAGGACCAGTGGCGGTACATCGTCAGCGTCAGCTCCTCATCAAACACAATTTTCAAACAGTTGATGGAGATGAGGTTCTCCTCGTCGTCTCCTCTGGAACCATAGTAACGCAGCAACAGCTATGACACAGTTGGGAATCTGAATGCAGTATTTTCCATTATGTCCAAACCATTTTTTGAATGCAGTTTTTTTTCTCACCAAACTAAATCAAGTTTACTCTTAAGTCCGGGTAGATTGCAGGATCGATACTCTGAACTGACTCATCCAAGGTTAACATTTTGTAAAGTCTTGTTGAAATATGGATAGTTTAATGTACAGTGTGTCAGTCAGATATAACAAGAACCGGTTCCACAGAGCAATGTCAGCTGAAATCTAAAAGACGTGTATAAAAGACAAGATGTAATGACTGTCTAATCACTAACATCAGTATGTGAAACAGGGCATCGCATACAGCAATCTAAGGCCTGGTGATCTCTACTCCCACACCTAACACACTTATGAAGATCATAACACTAAGGTTGTAACAACTCACTGATGGTTGTGCCGACGTACGTGAGACTGTAGATGATCGTACTGCTAAGGTTGTAACAACTCACCGATGGTTGTGCCGGGCTACGTGAGACTGTAGATGATTTTAGCACTAAGGTTGTAACAACTCACCGATGGTTGTGACGAGCTACGTGAGACTGTAGATGATTGTAACACTAAGGTTGTAACAACTCACTGATGGTTGTGCCAAGCTATGTGAGACTGTTGATGATTGTAACACTAAGGTTGTAACAACTCACTGATGGTTGTGCGAAGCTACGTGAGACTGTATATGATCGTAGCACTAAGGTAGTAACAAGTCACCGATGGTTGTGCCAAGCTACGTGAGACTGTAGATGATTGTAGCACTAAGGTTGTAACAACTCACCGATGGTTGTGCTGAGCTACGTGACACTGTAGATGATTGTAGCACTAAGGTTGTAACAACTAACTGATGGTTGTGACGAGCTACGTGAGACTGTAGATGATTGTAACACTAAGGTTGTAACAACTCACTGATGGTTGTGCCAAGCTATGTGAGACTGTTGATGATTGTAACACTAAGGTTGTAACAACTCACTGATGGTTGTGCGAAGCTACGTGAGACTGTATATGATCGTAGCACTAAGGTAGTAACAAGTCACCGATGGTTGTGCCAAGCTACGTGAGACTGTAGATGATTGTAGCACTAAGGTTGTAACAACTCACCGATGGTTGTGCTGAGCTACGTGACACTGTAGGTGATTGTAGCACTAAGGTTGTAACAACTAACTGATGGTTGTGACGAGCTACGTGAGACTGTAGATGATTGTAACACTAAGGTTGTAACAACTCACTGATGGTTGTGCCGAGCTACGTGAGACTGTATATGATCGTAGCACTAAGGTTGTAACAACTCATCGATGGTTGTGCCGAACTACATGAGACTGTATATGATCGTAGCACTAAGGTTGTAACAACTCATCGATGGTTGTGCCGAACTACATGAGACTGTAGATGATCGTAGCGCTAAGGTTGTAACAACTCACCGATGGTTGTGCCGAGCTACATGAGACTGTAGATGATCGTAGCGCTAAGGTTGTAACAACTCACCGATGGTTGTGCCGAACTACGTGAGACTAGATGATCGTAGCACTAAGGTTGTAACAACTCACCGATGGTTGTGCTGAGCTACGTGAGACTAGATGATCGTACCGCTAAGGTTGTAACAACTCACCGATGGTTGTGCCGAGCTACGTGAGACTGTAGCGCCATAACATCATCCATGTACTTGTCTCTTGGGGTCTTGAAATGAACATACTGGTCTGACACACCGATAATAGCCAGCCTAGAGAACAAGAAGGAAGCAGGTGGTGTTACTGAACAAAACTGAAATATAGTCCTTAAATACTTCTTGTCAACGAGGAATACAATTATTCTAATCTGTCCATATTTAGTGGTCTTGGGCTACCAGACATGCATACATTTCTAATGATTTTATAAACTTTTGTTGGGTTATTCCTCGTTACCTAAAGTTTGAACAAACTCTGCAGGACAAATTGAAAAGACACGGTCAATGTCAACTGAGTTGACATCTCGATAACTCACCACAATAAATCATTGGTGTCTTTAGACATCTTCCACGCCATTTCAAACATTAATAAGGAGGACTGAAAACAAATCATTACAGATACATATTAATTTGGCATGTTTCATTACAGAAGTTATTAAATTATGTAGTTCAGTCTCATTCTATGGTTAACTTATGATGGAACATGTAATTTTTGGAGTAAAATTGATATTTTATACTTATCCTGACTCATGCTCTTTTTGCTTGTCTTCTTCTTCTTGCGAACATAGTGGAACACTTGTATCTCCCTAATTGAAGCTCCCTTCAATTTAAAATCACTAATTAGTATTCACCACGAGTTACCTCCTTTCCACAAGCGCGGGAACGCGAGCGCCACCTCTACCCATGTGCCTCACTCTCTCCTCATATACTGAGCCCAACATTTGAATTTACAGGAAATCCAAAGTGTTATTTGGGGAGGATGGGAGGGCTGACCTCATGAGTCAGGATAAGTATAAAATATCAATTTTACTCCAAAATTACATATTTTTCCTTATCCTGACTCATCTCTTTAACTTGTAGCATCCTACAGACGGAGGTGGGAATATCTAATACTTTGGATTTTTAATAATTAGTGATTTGAACTGTGATGATTGTAATAACCCTATGGGAACTTCATAAAGGCACTGAACTGATGAATTCCTGCTGCTAACTTATCAGCTGCCATATAAAGGTTATTACCATGTACTTATTATGATAAAGTATATATAACATTAATACAATGCTTAAGACTAATAGACTTAAGCTTGTTAATATCTTAGTATAAACTCCTTGAGTTTGTTAGCTAAAATACTTTTAAGATATAACATAGTACTAAGCTTAGATATGATTAAACTTAAGCTAATTATATAATAGCAAACTCTTTAGAGTTTGTTAGTTAATATACTCTTATATGATATAGATATAATGCTGAGCTTAAGATATGAATAAGCTTTAGCTACATATATAATAGCAAAAACTCTGTAGAGTTTGTTAGCTAATATATTTTTATAATATGAGTATAGTACTGTGCTTAAGCTATAATTAACTTAAGCTACATATATAATAGCCAAACTCTGTAGAGTTTGTTATATAATATATTTTTATAATATGAGTATAGTACTGTGCTTAAGCTATAATTACCTTAAGCTACATATATAATAGCCAAACTCTGTAGAGTTTGTTAGCTATATATATATTTTATAATATTAGTATAGTACTGAGCTTAAGATATAATTAACTTAAGCTACATATATATAGCAAAACTCCGTGAGGGTTTTGTTAGCTAATATATTTTTACAATATGAGTATAGTAGTGTGCTTAAGATATAATTAACTTAAGCTACATATATAATAGCAAAACTCCGTGAGAGTTTGTTAGCTAATATATTTTACAATATGAGTATAGTAGTGTGCTTAAGATATAATGAACTTAAGCTACATATATAATAGCAAAACTCCGTAGAGTTTGTTAGCTAATATATTTTACAATATGAGTATAGTATTGTGCTTAAGATATTATTAACTTAAGCTACATATATAATAGCCAAAAAACTCTGTAGAGTTTATTAGCTAATATGTTTAAAGTGTAACCATAGTACTAAGCTTAAGATAAGATTAGACTTAAGCTAAATGTATATAGCAAAATAAACTCCTTAGAGTTTATTAACTAATATACTTTTTATGTTAAAAACATAGTACTGAGCTTAAGTTATGATGAAACTTAAGCTATATATATATAATAACCAAACTCCGTCGAGTTTTGTTTGATGAAACTTAAGCTAATTGTATAATAGCGAAAACAACCCTTTAGAGTTTGTTAGCTATGATATAAACCTAGTATTGAGCTTATGAAGGAAAACTTAAGCTACATATATAATAGCAAGAACTCCGTAGAGTTTGTTAGCTAATACATGTTATAATGTAACCATAAAGCTTAAAATATGATGAAACTTAAGCGAAATATATAATAGCAAAACCCTCTTTTAGAGTTTTGATAGCTAATATACCTATATGATATAAACATAGTACTTTCTTAAGATATGAATAAGCTTAAGTTACATATATAATAGCTAAAACTCTGTAGAGTTTGTTAGCTAATACATGTTATAATATAACCATATTGCTTAGAAATATGATGATACTTAAGCCAAATAGCAAAAAACTCTTTAGAGTTTGTTAGCTAATCTACTTATATGATATAAACATAGTACTAAGCTTAAGATATGAATAAGCAAGCTACCTATATAATAGCAAAACTCCTTAGAGTTTGTTAGCCAATATATTTTAATAATATGAGTATAGTACTATGCTTAAGGTATAATTAGCTTAAGTTACCTATATAATAGTAAAACTCCGTAGAGTTTGTTAGCTTAATTAACTTAAGCTATGTATAAAATAGCCAAAAACTCTGTAGAGTTTGTTAGCTAATGCATTTATCATGTAACCATAGTATTACTCTTAAGATATGAATAACTTAAGGTAAATATATATAATAACAAACTCTGTAGAGTTGTTAACTTATATATTGTATGATGTAATAATCATAGTACTGTGATGATAAAAAGGAACTTAAGTAAATTATATATAGCATGAAGCTATTTAGTATTGTTATAAGATAAGTAAAAATCTGTTAGATTGACTTATCTTCTCCAAAGAACTGTCAGCTGTTGTCGCGAGGACCATGGGATCGAATTGGTGTATACCTGAGGCGTCCTCGGTGGTGATATCTCTCAGATAAAGGTTTGCAACCACCATGTCGGTTCCAGAAATTAACCCTCCATTATTTCAATCACATTTGTGTAGAACAATTGTAGAAGTTAAGCTATAATATCATGAGTATTAAGCTCATGGAGGGTGGAATAGGTCCATCCATATGCACGTAGTATGACAGTTCTGATCCAAATGGAGATATAGTACATGGGACTTCACTCTCATGTAAGTTGATGATAGAGAGGAAATAATCTGTTGCATTTTTTCCTCCTGTTTGGTTTGGTGGAGATAAATTTACAGTGCTCTTGCTGGCCATCTTGATAGAATCATGCGTTATCATGGGGTCCAAGTATGTCATCCAGCGTGTTCATAAACCTCACTTGTGAGGTGTTGGATACACTATATTCATATCCCAGGTTGGAGTGAAATTTCCGTTTTATTCTCCAAACAGAAGTTTAGTAGGTTTACTAACCATCTAGTTGTGTTAGTCGCTTGATGAAATTCAGCTGTAGTCTGAAACGCTGTGGATTTAGATCCACTTGTATCTTCGTCTAGGTAATTAAATGCGAAGTCCTTGGCGATGTAGGTGCACAACCAGGTGTGTCTGTCCTCGTTGAACTTTATGTAAAATCGCCTGACTGCCGATCCCTCGTCTTAACTTGACAGGGGAGGTCTCTAACTGAAGAAAGGCAGTCTAATCATGAATGTTCAGGTTAACTGGACTGTAATGAGGCTTGCTTTCGTTCACTGATATATAGTTGTCACTTGTGGCGTAAGTCTTGAACTGTGAATTGAGATCGACCTCTGTGTAGGTCGTTGTCCCTCAGCGATCCAATCAGAACAAGGCATTTTGATTCTGTATAATACCCGGCTGTGATGTCACGGTGTAAGCGGGAAAAAAACCTACCTTGAATAAATTCTTGTCGTCGTTGATATTAGCATAAGCGTCGGTCTTCACCGTAGCTTCCCGAAGTTATCCGGTGACCACGTGTTTTGAGGGTTAATGGTATCATGTGAAACCTCCGGTATGAAATATCTAAGCTCTGTAATTTAATGCTGGGTAGGTTATTTTCCTGGTTGTCGGAAAGTAATTTCAGTTTTGAATATAATTCCGACTTCCTTATATATAAAGGGTATAAACAACTTGCAAGTTGTGAGCTTGTAGACTGTATACATGAATGTATGCGTCATAATTGTAGAATTAACGCGTTGAACTTGTTGTACATATTTCTTCTCCAGAAACTTTGGCGATTAAGAGTTATACTTTCGCTGTAACAAGGCTGCTGTTCAATTTCGATATTGAATTGTCTGCAGATATCGTAATAGTCGCATGTAGATAATCGTATATGGAATAGTCGGGATTGTATATTAGCAATTTATACTGAATAGTTGATTTCTGTGAAGATCTATGAAATGTGGTTGACTAATAATACAGCGGCGTTCTGTGTTGTAAATAGCCTGAGCAATTATCTTAGTAGAAACTTATAGCGGCATCTGGCATACAGTTGATAATCAACTTATCGCGGCGTCTTGAACGGACTGACAGTAGCTATATATGCCGAGTGGCTAGTATATAGAAACCTTGGAGGAGACTTCCTCGGTGACGCCGGAGACTTGAAGTTCTCGAAGTATCCCTTCTAGATCTTCTGGGTGAAGTAGACTTGGAGCCACTTAGCCTTAGCGACCATCACGAAGGTGTAGAGTCAAAGCCGATTAGTATATATATATATATATAAATATATATATGGCTTGCCGTGAACAGCCTCTGTGTTTAACAGGATGTGGGATCGTGGCAGCTTGCCTAAATAGGGCGCATGGATCATCTTATCATATTCAGAAGTGGGTGTTCACGAAGTCTGGTGATAAGTGTCTAATTGATCGTTCTAGATCTATTTAGGCCAGCGAACATCGATCTCGTCATGGATTCAACAGAACCAATATCACGATTGTAGTTCTTATACTTGATATCGATGATCAACTTGTCTATGGGTTGATCTTCACCGGAGACTTGTGAGGGAGGCGTTGATAGTTTGTGAAGCTCTTGTATAGTCCCTCGATGTCCTTCTAGATGATGATGATCTGGATTCCAGGTGTCCTTGCCGCATGCCTTAGCGAAGCTTCCTCTGCGTCGGTCAGGGAACGGCGATATGACCTTGAAGGCTTCCGTGATGTCTGATGGTCGAGTCCACATCTAGGGATGAAACGCATAAGGTGATGATCTATCCTGCCTTCGCGAATTCGCCGAAGGCTGTATCTAGGTTCCTTTCGCCGCGAAGGCCTTCGCGAAGGCTGTTCATCTAGGTCCTTCGTCAAGGTGGTCCGTGACTTCCTTCAGCGAAGGTGACATCGTCCTGGCTGCTCGTTGGCGGGGGTGCCTCTGGGGTGCTGTCTCACGTTGGAGCCTTCGCCGAAACTTTCGGACCCTGCTACCGCGGATTATAGTGGTCCTCCATGATGTTCATAATTAGTGGCATCATGTCTTCTGGGATGGTCTGCGGCAGAGGTCGTCGGTGCTTTATCTCGCGGTGTTAATGGAGGGTCCACGGAAAATCGTCCGACATCAGTGTAGAGGCATCAGGCTGCATGGTGATCTCTGCTGATGTCGTTGTAGCTAATCACCGGTCGTTTCTTGTGGCGTCGATGCGTGGGGATGATGATCAGCTGATCATCGTGAGAGTCCAGGTCATCGGCTGGAACAATCTCGGTTGAAAGTCCTAGTAGACTTCGTTGATTTTCCCTCAGAGGTCGGCGCTGCCCTGGGTGTCGCGGCGTCTGCGTTGAGTGTTAGTAATGATGGGACCCTCAGGGCGATCATCCATATCTCGCGTTGGTACATCAGGCTGCATGCTGATCTGTGCGACATCGGTCAATCTTTGATGTACATCGGTATGATGACCGGCTGATCATCATACAGGCCCAAAACTGCGATGGGAGCGATCTCGGCTGTTGAGATGTAGTAGAAAAGCCCTCTAGTCTTCTGCTGCGGCGATGGGATGTCTGGGGAAGCAGGATGCTTCTTGGAGATGGCGGACTACGTCCACACCTCTCCACCACTCTAGCGGAACACCACCGCGGGAGAGTCGACCAACAGCAGTAGACTGGCGAGGGTTCGGTGTATCAGTCATACTAGACTCTGCATCACAGCGACCTATCTGCTGTGCGTTCCAAAGCATAAAGTAAATATTAATAAAAGGTAGAATTGGATAAATTAGTACCGCAACTGCAATGTGAATATAATAAACATGGCGCCGTACATCATATTAAAGGCGGATCAGCAGCAGCATAAAAAGCGTAATCTGCAATGGTACAGAATTTTCATCAGCGTAATCCACTGAAACAAACCGGCGTCCGTGAATAAACTGTAGAAAAGCGACTAAATATCAATATATAATGGTTGAAGGATACTAGCTAAACCTCTATAGATGTCTATCGAGGGTAACTAACTAAATACAAAACAAAGGATATAGTGTGTCGGGAGACTGGCTCTCACGTCCAGCTCACTGGGCGAAGAAGGAGAGAGTGAGGCACATGGGTAGAGGTGGCGCCCTCGTTCACGCGCTTGTGGAAAGGAGGTAACTCGTGGTGAATACTAATTAGTGATTTTAAATTGAAGGGAGCTTCAATTAGGGAGATACAAGTGTTCCACTATGTTCGCAAGAAGAAGAAGACAAGCAAAAAGAGCATGAGTCAGGATAAGGAAAAATAATTAACCTCCACATGATAAATATATTGGCAATAATCTGTATAGGGGATCAACATTCTAGATGGTAATGGAATCAATGAGCGAGTGAGTTTAGTTTTACGCCGCACTCAGCAATAGTCCAGCTATATGGCATCAATCTGTAAATAATCGAGTCTGGACCAGACAATCCAGTGATCAACAGCATAAGCATCGATCTACTCATTTGGGATACAATGACATGTGTCAATCAAATCAGTGAGTCTGACCACCCGATACCATTAGTCACCTCTTATGACAAGCATGGCTTACTGAAGACCAATTCTAACCCGGCTCTTCATGGGTCTCAAATATATCAAAAGCGTGCACATGGTGAAAAGCAACTTATGCCCATCAGCTAAATAAACCTTCTTTGATTTGTTGCTTTAAAACTATGCTGCATAATGTTCTGCTTTGTTCCAACCAGTGAGGTGAGGCGAGCAATGGAACACTAAAAGCAACACAATACATATACCATCCTCCTTTCAGCAATGTTCCAGCTTTACACAGTGTACCTATGTGGGGATTTGAACCTGGGCTTTAGGTGATGAGAGACCGTCTTAACTACTCAGCTATCCACTAAACTTTGGCCCAAAGATGATGGAGTTCTATACTTACTGAAGTTCCATATGATGTGAACTTTGTGTAGTCAAATATGACCTTGTTCCTGCAAGAGAAACACAAGACACTGATTATCAAGACTGCTTCTAGGGTCTGACTTGTATCCATCACATCAAGTAATGGCTGTTTCCAAGGTAATCTAGTAAACCAGTGGTTGATAGTATGAGAACCAACGAGGGTATTTCATCTCTGTTCTGCTGTGATAGAACTAATGGTGGTCCGATTAATTGAAATAATCGAAGATTGGTCGCAGTCACTAAACGTCCAAGCAATCGATCATGTTTTCTCATAATCGAACACAAACAATTCTAGAACACTTGTTTTCATTAACAGTATTTTTCACTAGGTTGGTTTTGTCTGTTACATTTCATAAGCACTACAAGCTCGTTCCAAGTCATGATTGAATTTATCTTAAAGACTCTAAGAAATTTATGTTCCTGCATACTAGTCATCCTTTAAAGATGTGAAATTTTGCCAAAAAACCCCCCAAAGAACTACATGGTTTTTTCCTTAATGTTTTGTGCATTAACACATTTCATAAATGACGCTAACCAATTATTTTCGATGATTGATTGGTTGTAATGAACCAATCATCAATTATGAGATTTTAACCAATTCCCAACACTAGATAGAACACACACATTTCTGAAAGAATTCCCGACCTCCAAGTTTTACGGCAAAATTGTGTACAATTTCTCTTGGTGACTTTGAAATGGACCTCCAGTTAGACAGTTGTCAGATCAAGCATTTAATACACTAAGAGGAAACAGAAGACTGCTTTGAATTCCTTTAGTATGAAACATTTCGCTGTGTGTAGAGTGATGAGGGTAAATATGGGGTTTAACATCACATTCAAAATGACTTCACTGAATTCTTCACTGAAAGTACCAAATGCTTCACGGATCATAAAACAATAATGTTTATTCATTTTTGTTTACAAATGAAACCAAACAAATTTCATTGTGTAACAGTAAGTGAGTGAGTGAGGTTAGTTTTACGCCGCACTCAGCAATATTCCAGCGATAGGGCAGCTGTCTGTAAATAATCGAGTCTAGACCAGACAATCCAGTGATCAGCAGTATGAGCATCGATCCGCGCAATTGGGATAGATGACATGTGTCAACCAAGTCAGCGAGCCTGACCACCCGATCCCGCCTCTTACAACAAGAATAGTCGCCTTTTGTGGCAAGCATGGGTTGCTGAAGACATATTCTACCCTGGATCTTCACGGGTCTCATTGTGTAACAGACAAGTTATGCAAACTGGTATGGTGTTTCCAGATCAGAGTTTCTGACACTCAAGAGGACATGAGGTCACTTCTGCCCCAGAAACCCCAGCAGTTGTTTCATTATGCATTCACCACTATTCCAGCTGAACGTGTTTTGTTTTTGATTTTTTTTGTTTAATGACACACTCAGCAATATTCCAGCCGTATGGCAGCGGTCTGAAAATAACTCAACCTGGACCAGACTATCCAGTGATCAAAAGCATGAGCATTGATCTATGTGATTGGGATACGTTGACTTCTGTCAACCAAGTCAGAGAGCCTGACCACACGATCCCACTGGTCACCTGATATGACAAAGCATGGGTTGCTGAAGACCAGTTCTAACCCGGATCTTCACGGGTCACCAGCTTTACAATGGCAGCTTGGAAGTTATTAATAGTCACATCACAAACAGAAATTCCTGGGCCACTGATAATACAGATTCCTTGGAAGGTTGAAACATGGAATTGAGGGTTGAAATATCAGATATGATTGAAGATACAACCTTATTGACCTTCACCTCACCTATTTTCGTTCCACAATCTCTTTTCTCTCCGTCTGTCTATGGCTGCCTCGTCAAACCTCCGTTTTTTCCCCGATCTGTCAGAACTGTCACTCTCATTACCAGAGTCCTCGTCTGACTGAAACAACACCAGTCATCTGTTATATTAAAGTCTACAACTTGCTTTTACTTACCTCTGTATCCAAAAATTTAATTTTCTGACTAAAATTGATATTTTATACTTATATTTACTCATGCTAAATGCTTGTCTCCTTCTTCTTACGAATGATAGTGGAACACTTGTAGTCTCCCTTGCCTCCTTTGGCGCCCTTTTTGGTCACATGACCAGCTATGTTTGTCCCTCTCTCCGTTTGTACGCCCGACACCCGGATTTACAGGGAAATCCAGAGTGCCCTGAGGGGGGAGGTTGGGAGGGCTGACCTCATGAGTCAGGATAAGTATAAAATATCAATTTTAGTCAGAAAATAACCTTTGTTTCCTTATCCTGACTCATGCTAAATGCTTGCAGAATCCGTTGGAATCGGTGGTGGGTCAGGCCACTTCTGGATTCACTGGCTGTTGATTTACGTCCTGTATTACCCCCCATAGGAACTTATGACGGCACTGTTGATGATTCTGTTCTTCCAACTTCCATCTGATGAGTCGGAGTCCATTAGTTATCTATTGCAACTCCATCTCTTGATGCATGCATCAAGTGGAGATGCGACCCTTCTTCATGTACGAGTATGTCCTATACAAGTACAGGGTCTATCACTCATGCTAGTCTGTCCTTGACGTGTGCATGGACTTTAACCATTTGCTCTCCAGAGCGTTGGTTTTCACAAGTCACGTGATAAAAGCGTGAGATTTTTCTCAGCGCCTTTGTAGAACCATTAGTTGTTGTGCTACAACAAGTGGCCCAAACTGGTGAATGCCTGAGACGTCTTCGGTGGCAATGTCTCTGAGGTAGTGGTTGGCAAACACAGTGTCCGATTTCCAAAAGCAGCCCTCCATTATTGTTGTGATCGAGCAGTTTCCATGCAGAGCAAGTGTAGACGGCAGGGCTCTGACTTCGTGGGGATTGGAGGCACGAGGAAGCTCAAGTCCTGCTGCTTTGTAGGCCCTTAGTATGACAGCTCTCACCCAAACTGATATAGTTGTCCATGAGACTTTTGTGGACGTCTCAGTGGATAAGGGGATGAATAGGCGCTTGAATTTTTGTCTCCTTATTTTTGTCCTTTGTAGGTAGACTTTCAATGCTCTGACAGGGCATAAGGATAAATCCTGTGTATCCTGTGGCCCAAGGACTGTAGAAAGTGCTGGGATGTGGAACTGTCTGTCAGGCTGGCCGGGCAGTTGGTTCTTGGCAATAAAGTCCCATCTCAGTCCAAGATGTATGATATCACGATGTCTTGCTTCAAATCGTGTTCGTTCAAAGTCCAGAGCATGTACTTCTGATGTACTTCTGGATAAATTCTCTGCCATTGTCCACCACCGCAAATGAGGAATCAGCCGCCCCGTAGTGTGGAGAAACAACTCTTAACCCCGGGAATGAAGTCACATTCGAGCCAAAGCTGGCTGAATGGGTCACATCCTCAACCGCGCTCGCCAAACAAAGTCTACCATTGCCGCCTTGTTGCCTAGCAACTGGAGCCAAGGCTGAGCTGAGGCCCTGGGGGACTCGAGAAATTGTAACACAACTCTCTGGACTTTGGTGACGCGGAGACTTCACCTCACGCTGTCTCGAATCTCGATCCTGGGTGGGGACCAGTTCTGACTTCTTGAGATTGATAATCCAGCCCAACTTGGTGAGTATATCTCCCTTTTCCACAGATGAGATCAATGAACGCAGTGTCTCCATTCAGACGGTACCTCTATCATGTCGTTCAGACCTTTGAGATGTAAAATAGGTCTCTCCGTCCTTTTTGGTGACAAGGAAATAGATCGAGTAATAACCTGCCTCTTCCTGTCCCACTGGCACCACCTCGATGGCTGCCTTGTCTAGTAATGACTGGACCTCGCCACGGAGCGCCTCTGCCTTCTCCGGGGTGGCCGGCACTGGAGAAGGGAGGTTGGTCTCGCTTCCACTGTGGCATGTGGCCTACCCTGGACAGGACCCAGGGATTGGAGGTGACCTTTCCCCATTCCGACAGGAATAGGGTAAGTCGACCACCCACAGGGATATTTGGCATGAGGCCAGTACTCCGACTGCTAAATCTGGTACCGACAAGAGCTCCGGAGGAATTATTGCTGGGAAGCCGGGGCTGACGTCCCCTTGCTCTGAAAAGGCTGGTGGGGCGCCACAGCCTTGCCCTTGCCTCTGCCCTTCCGCGACTGTAATGGCTGAGCCCATTTAAAAGGTTCCTTAAATCTGCTTCTGTGTGGAGAATCTTAGAGGCTCCTTCGGGGACGTCTAAGGCTGAGCTGACGTTGGTAGCGTTGTCCAGACTTCTAGCTTCAGACGTTGAAGATCGTCAGGTGCGTGGGCCTTCGTGCAGGCTTTCCTCTTCATTCAGGTGCGTTGGAGAGGCTGCTGAACCTTCGCGCAGGCTTGTATTCGTTGTAGTGGTCTTCGTAGCAGCTTCCTCCTGCGCGAAGCGACGTTCCATCATCGATATCATCTGATCTGTAAACTGTTGCATAAACAGCCCCGGATTGAAGTTCTGCGACGTATGTTGACACTGCTGCAGGGTTGATGATGCTTCTGAGAACACTGAGGCCTCTTCTAAGGTACGCTGCACTTGTGAAGAGTTAATGTTGCTGCTATCTCTGGTACCCAATGTCTGCGTTGATAGAAGGTCTTCTGTCAATGTCTGCACTGATACAGTTGCCGGTGTAGCTGTTGAAGCAGGCTTCGTCTTCTTGCTGATGACTGTGACTTCAGGTATGATGATGGGGGGGATCATCATCCACGTCTGCTTCTTCCAAGGTACAATATCGGCAATGAAGGATCTCGTCTTCTGCGTAGAGCTGTGAAAGAGACTTCTGGCTGAAGCCTTAGGAGCTGTAGACTTCTGCTGAAAAAGATCTGCCCTCGAGTCTTCTTCGAGGAATTATGAATACAGTAGTTAACACAAGGTACCCAGTCCTTTGCGACATGACTTGCGTCCTATGAAGAGAGAAAAAACATAGTTATTAAATTCAAAAGTAGTTAGTTTCTGACAATGTTTACAGTGAAAGATGGAAGAACATGTAGTAGTGCAATCAGGACATAATATATGCAGGTTAGCCAGACAGCCGGTACCTACAAACGAATACAAGTTTTCATCAATTGTAAACCAGATGAAAAACATGGCAAACAACGTATAATTTTGACATAATATAAAAACATTTGATAATATACAATCCAAAAACCGTATACAGCTGCACTTTAGATGTAAAAGGTCCAAAATAGAAAAGGATGTGTGCCGTATAGGGACCCAGGTGCTCTCACAACAGTCCTCGAGTGCGAAGAAGGAGAGAGTGACTAACATAGCTGGTCATGTGACCAAAAAGGGTGCCAAAGGAGGCAAGGGAGACTACTCGTGGGTGAGTGATGATTTTACGCCCGCTTTTTAGAAGGGAACTTCAAGGGATTCCAAAGAAGCTCTTGAGGTGTCTCAACTGCTGCAAAGCTACCCCCAGGGATAGCTTTGGACTGGATCAATCTCAGGAGGTGGACCAGATGAAGAGCCAGGAGCTACCGAAGCCGGATGGGCTGGAGTAGAAGGCTGTATTTGGTTCCAGGCTGAGGTTATGGCCCTGATCATCATATTTAGATCCGGAGTCGCTGTAGGAGTGGGATTGTTATCAGATTCCCATGACTCAGCGATGATCCTAGTGTGAGTCGAAGGATTCTCAGAGCGTGTAGACGGAACAGGTGGATCTAGATCGTATAGGTGACCTGGGTTGGTAAGATGATCTGGACTTGTAAAGTGATCTGGATTGATTCGATGCACTATCGTGATCTGGATCGAACAGGTGATCTGGTTTGCAGTTGGGATCTGGCTCAATTTGATGATCTGGATCGGTTAGTTGATCTAATTTGATGTTGTGATCTGGATCAGTTCGGGTGATCTGGATCAGTCTGGCGATCTTATTTGATGTTGTGATCTGGATCGGTTCGGTGACCTGATTCTGGTTGTGATCTGGATCCAATCGGTGATCTGGATCGGCCCGATGATCTACTTTGATGTTGTGATCCTGATCTGTTCCGCTCTGGATCTGTCCGGTGATCTGATTCGAAGTTGTGGTCTGGACCCGTTTGGTGATCTGGATCGGTTAGGTGATCTGGATTGATCAGGTGATGTGGATCGAAGTTGTGCTCGGATCATGACTGTGATTTGGATCGAACCGGTGATCTTGATCGCACGTTGATCTAGATTGGGCTTGTGATGGTGATTGGGATCTTCACGTGAAGGTGATCTAGATCGTTGTGGTGATCTAGAATGATGTGGCGATCTGGATCGGCGACAAAACCTGAAGTGTTGATTCATGATGAACATCCCCTGGGGACGCTGTGGTAGCCAGCTCCGTCCGGTTCAATGAACTGTGGGGAGACAGTTGGCTGGTTGAACGCGGTAGGCCAGGCTCCACACAAACTGAGACAGTCGAGGGGATATGTACTGATGATCTGGGTGATGGTAGTGTCGATCTAAGGTCCCCTGGTAGTGTAGATGGGACAGGCAACGAAGAATTATCAATCACAACCACCCGCGAGTGATCTGACGCTATGGAAGAAGGTGATTGATGCATACATAATAGGTGCCGAACATCCTCAGATAAGTACGAATCTGATGAAGCGTCCATAAAATGCTCTTGAACCACAGACGTCGCTCTCTTGCGTGAAGGTACGATTTTCTGTCACTGTAACTTGATACACTTGGCGGGAGTGGGATCAGATTCTGTTGATTTCCTTTCCCTATCGGCGATTCTCCGTGAGCAAACACAAAGGAAGGCCTTAAAATCCTCATCTTTTAGTAAATTACACTTGCCACATCGTTTGTTCCAGTTACATTGTCCAATAGAGTCACTGCAAGACGAGTGAGGGTCGAGGGACGAATAATTCGCCTTGCATTGAGCCCAACTTTCCTTTTCCTTGACTGATTATCAGTTTTCCCCATGATGTTAGGGTGAAATAATGTCCCTAATATACAGCACGTCCACACAGTCGTGCGACAAGAAAGAGAATGATCATTCAAGGTAGTCACGAGGGCAAATAGTGGAGCATGCTGAAAGCTTTATTAGGAACTAGGAAGCTAATTAAGGAGAGCAGCATGGAGTGCACGGGCAAATGGACAAGAAGGCCTATGAGATAAAAGTTTACAGTCGTTCCACTAAAAGTCGAAGCAAGAGAGAGAGGAACAAGTCGTGAGATAGGATAAGTTTAAAAATTCATCATATTGGCAAAGTTGACCTATGTGACTAGTCAAAATGAAGTCATAAATGCGAAAATTAGCAATTGAAACCTTTGATAAAATATACAAACTTTTCATGACATTGTTTCTCTAGATGTGTTTATCATGTATGTAATGAAACCATAGCAACAAAAAATTACCCCGCCATATGCTTTTCTGACTTACAACTTGACTCAAACCAAAGGGATGTGCGACAAGACGTGTTTCTGACTTACACTGTCGTCCCTGAAGACTTCATCGTACTCTGGCAGCTCCGTCAACTCCTCCTCCTTCATCAACAACTTGACCTGCACAGCGTTAAACACATTGTGGATGTCTACCGGACGGTGACTGCAAGCAAAAGAACATATCACATTCAGGTCATGAATCATACTACTCAACTAAAGTTAAGGTCCACATGATTCCTTCATATTACTGTGTCATCGCAAATTCTTTCCTATCACTAAAGTTAATCTGTTACTGCATGATAGATTAGTATTAAATATGAAAGAATTAGTGGTCTTTTGAGGTATATTTCAATTTCTGCACCATGGCAGATTATATTATATGAAAGAACTAGGTGGTCCTTAACTAATTCTGAGCAGCATATTTCAGTCATGTCAAAGCATGGGATATTAAAACAGGGTTGAATCACTGTTTGGACAATAATTTTTGAAATCAAAATCTAGACTTTTGCAATGATATATTGTTTTTATATGTTATGATTAACATATCTTTCAAATTTGAACGAAATTGGTGAAGAAATAAAGATTTTACAAAATTCTACCGCTACACTATTATATTTAAAAAATGTGCATTCTATATAATAGCTGAGCCATTGTTTGAGTTTTAGTGTGGCTTGATTATTTATAGACTGCTGGAATATCACTGAGTCGCGTACACCAACAAACAAAGTTACAAACATTTTCCTACAGGAAAATGCTGGAAGGAAGTGTACCTGTCACTGATGTAGAAGCCGGGCGTGCTCGGTGGCTGCAACATCTCAACAACATCCACAGTGGCACATGAGTTGATCATCACAACATGCTTGATCTGGAAACACAGACAGTAAGCGTGAGAAATATTATCATGTCTTATTAAAGATGCCATTTTGTTTCCTGGTGCACATTGTTGCAGAGCATCATGAATGCTAGTATATCGTTTCAACACAGGCAATAATTTGTGTACCCCTCTGATAAGCTATGTTTGCAGAGCATCATGAATGCTGGTATATCGCTTCAACACAGGCAATAATTTGTGTAATAATTTGTGTACTGCTCTCTGATAAGCTGATAGCTATGTTTACAGAGCGTCATGAATGCTGATATATCGTTTCAACACAGGCAATAATTTGTGTACCCCTCTGATAAACTATGTTTACAGAGCGTCATGAATGCTGATATATCGTTTCAACACAGGCAATAATTTGTGTACCCCTCTGATAAGCTAGTTTCAACACAGGCAATAATTTGTGTACCCCTCTGATAAGCTATGTTTACAGAGCATCATGAATGCTGGTATATCGTTTCAACACAGGCAATAATTTGTGTACCCCTCTGATAAGCTATGATTACACAATGCCATTTAGAAATGAAATACACAATGCCATTTAGAAAGTGGTCAAATGTAACATATGTTATATTTTGGATTACACTTTCTTAGTAAAGTGCAGATTCTTGTACTATTGTTGGGTTGAGCCCTTTGCGGGTTTCGCAGTGTTCACGAATGGTGTTTCAAAGTAACAGGACATTGGGTCCTGTAAGTTTCAGATGTCTGTCTGACCCACTGAAAATTCACAGGACCCATGGAATAAATTTAAACACACATTTCAGATCAAACATTTCTTATAATATTAAGTGAACACTGGATTCAAACCCACACTCTCTGAGTCAGGCACCAAATCACCAGAACACAAAGTCAGACACCTAGCCGTGGGAGCCGTGTCAATTTACACTTATCAGTGGAGTACACAAAGTCCACAGTCTAGACTACCAGTTGTCCGACTTCCATTTTGCAGAATGTTACATTTGACCATATTCTAAATGGCATTGTGTAATCATAGGCCAAATACTGACCAAATTTCACCTACAGTTTTTACCATTTGTCATTTAGTTGAAAATGTAATATCAGTGGGTGGGCAGTGAGAATACGGGAAGAAAGACTGGAAGAAAAATCTAAAGCAATCTTTACAGGTGAGATGCTGACCCACTACCTGAGGCTTAAAGGCCGGGGTTCAAACCTATACACATATGGGGTGTGGCCTCCTTGCCTTGTTAAAGCTGTCTTTTGATGCAAATCCATGCACTATTCTAGTACAATCCATGAAATATCACAAAATTGACTAACTGGTTCATGATCAAATTAAGCCACAGTGTAAAGAAGTATCTTATGAAGGCTCACTATAAAATGCATGTATGCAGACAGCCTACAAAACATACACTCTGAAAATATATTTCTCTTACTCAAACACAGATTTGAATTTCCCATTCAGACAGGTGACCAGAGGAGGTGCGTTTCCATAGAAACAAGCCTATGAGTTGGCTAAAAGTTTCATTCAGGGTTTCATGTTTCAGACAGGCTGTGAAAATGACTCCCTCCCCACTCCCCTGACCCTATGCTGTGCAGGGTTAGGGATGTACACTTATTTGATCCTGACACCACCATGTTGAAGATTTTATTTTCAGAACATAAGTAAAATTTGGAATTTCATATATGTTAATCAAATTAATCTCTTTAGTCATCAAAACATGTAGTGAAAGAGTTGTTGGGACATTTACTATAAGGCACATGTTTATTCTCGTAGTAAATTCCAAGGTTAACTTTTGACATCGCCAGGCTCTGGTCAGGCACCCATAGCTGTTAGAATCCTGTCAGATAACATCTACACTGCTGAAGAGTTGCCAACAGGAGACTAACTGGAAACCCACAGGTTTTTTGGAGGTTTGCACCCCGGCCTTAAAACTCATGATCAGCATACGCTCACATGAAGAAGGGAGACAACTCTGCACAGAAAGATCCTTCCCGACTGGGTCACCTTCTCATCCACATGTGTGTAGGCTTGTTGAATCATAATTGTGGCGTCTACCCTCCAATTTGTCTACACATCCATTTAACATATATCAGAACTCACGCCTTCTGAATTCTCTACGAAGGCCTGCTCCAGGTCTGAATCATAATTGTGGCGTCTACCCTCCAATTTGTCTATACATCCATTTAACATATATGAGAACTCACGCCTTCTGAATTCTCTACGAAGGCCCGCTCCAGGTCTTCCAGGCCACTGACCCACGCCTTCTGACAATGGTGTATGGGACTACCGCACAATGGTGTAGCATCTGGAACAGATACTGAAACAACACATGTAACCATAGCAACAAGCATCCGCTGACTATAATTCTCTGATGGTGTATAGTGATACTGAAACACAACATATACGTAACCATTGACTGGGATAACAGTGTACTCTCAAACCATTTAACATATATGAGACCCAAACTGAAGGCCAGAAGATCTGAATCATATGTGTAGACTATGTGATCTATTTCACTTTGATCATACATAAAAAAAGTGGAATCAGAACTGAAACTTTTCCCATCTTGAGGGCATTATATTGCTATGTCAGTTTGTTGCTGACATTTCTCTTTGATCAGACATGATCAGGGGCAAATTATATTTACAATGTCTCCTAACCCATGTCAGAAGAAAATGTGAAGAGAATTCAAATACTGACTGACTGACTGACTGAGTTTGGTTTTACGCTGCTTTTAGCAATATTCCAGCAACATCATGGCGGGGGACACCAGAAATGGGCTTCACACAATGTACCCATGTGGGGATTCGAACCCAGGTCTTCGGCATGACGAGCCAACACTTTAACCACTAGGCTACCCAACCGCCCCAGAATTCAAAGAAAGAAGAAAGAAAAGAAACAAAATTACAGAATAAGACATATCTGCCAAACCTGCAAAATCTTGCATGCACATAATGCATCCACATCGAAAGACACCAGTACCAGAACTCGCTGAAACAGAAGAAAGAATTTTACAGTTTTTATCATTACCATATACAATGACTGGTGTCAGCCCATATGGCCTAAAATTATTCAACTAGGTAGGAAAAGTTCATTAGGCTATGTGGGCATTCATGCCTTATGGACTTGAAAATGATTATGCTATAATACGTGTTACTTTCAATGTCATTAGAATAATGATTGTAAACAGAATGTTTATATTTTAATATGGGATATCATTACAAACTCAGAAAGTTCTTTCCCAGAAAACAATTATATCCGTCCACAAGGACGCACAGGATTTTAGTTAGGATTTTAGAGGTACTTCATCAAATTTCTGTGTCCCACATGTCCCCAAAAACGCTGTTTTAGTGACTCACAAATTTAGAAAATGACTCCCATTTTGTCACCATGACCATTTCTAAAAGTATGTGTACTATTAACTGGATCCTGCTCTTGACCATCATCATCTGAGTACCCACGTTACCTTGTCTCAGCCGTGACACAATTATTGTTTCATGTGGGTTTTTTTAACAGCTGCTTACCGCTAATGAAAACAATGACCACTCTAAGAATCATTGCAAACATCCAAAACTAAATGGTTCTCTACAGTGGTGTTCCGATTAATTGAAATAATGGATGATTGGTATCAGTCACCAAACAACCAAGCAATTGATCACATTTTCTCATAATCAAACACAACGATTTTGTCACTTCTGTTTTAGTGTTTGAACCACTTGACGATGGAACATATCTTAGAAGTCGTCAGGGCCTGAAAACGTGTTTAATTCTTAGAAAACTTACTACACTTACTGAGAAGTCATGACTGCATATTTCTTGAAGACTCTAGGAAGTTTATGTTCATGATATAATTAGGCCATGAGGCAAGAGCTGAAAATTGACATATTGGTACCACTCAGAGGGACCAAAAGTTTTAGTTTTTTTTATATTCCTTTATGTCTCTACATATAAAAAATGTGATAGCCATGTCAGTTTGGTAGCTCAAACGATGCTAAATCCAAGATGGCCGCCCAAAAGCTCCAAAACAATAAATAAATGTCAATTCCAAGCTCTAATCGTGAGTAAAGTTCGTCAAATAGGCTTGAAATGAAAAAAGGGAGGTAAAATAGTGCTAACATGATGAAAAAGATTGAATTAATATCAAGTTGTGTTATTTGATACCTTTAAATCATATCGTTTCCGGATTTTGTAAGAGTCAAAATTGTAAGTTCAAAGAGCTTTTTGGAAAACTCATCATTTTATTTATTCTGAAGACAGCTCTTTAATTTCAAAGAGTGAGAGCACCTTCAAGTTCCTTAAAGTGATAGTCACTTTTCCGCATCATAAACATCAGCTGCATCATCAATGTCACTCTTCGGCATGTCATGGTCCTCGCATACCATGTTATTTTTTTAAAATGTTTATTCATTTCAGTGAAGCATACAAGATGGCATATGAATATAATTTGATGAAACAGTAGACAAGCGTGACATATGCATCGAATACTTAGGTGTAATCCATAAAGGGTTGTTTGATTGGTTGATGGTGTCCAGGCCAGAGTGTCATGAAGAGGTGCTTAATTAGAATGAGTGAGCGAGTGATTTAGTTTTTACGCCGCTTTTAGCAATATTCCAGAAATATCACGACGGGTGACACCAGAAATGGGCTTCACACATTGTGCCCATGTGGGGAATCGAACCAGGGTCTTCAGCATGACGGGCGAAAGCCTTAACCACTAGGCTACCCCTCCACCCCGTTGAACCAGAAAGTAGGAGAAAGTTGTACCTAGGCATAATGATTGATTGATAGGAAAGTGATAAAGATAGACATATCCTAAATCCAAGCAAGACTAAGCCTGAGGATTTTACAAGTTTGTAACAGCATGCCTCATTGGGCAATTGGACTATAGTTTATGAAATATCACTTTGGGTAAGAGTTCCTTACGTACCCCTACCTAATTTTTTCAACCAATACAAAGATATACAAGTAATTAAAAGTACCTTATAAAATAAGCGGGGGTACGTAGTAACCCTTTCCTCACCATCGCCTGTTAATCTGCATTATTCCATACAAAGACTGTCTCACAACATTAGCAAATGCTCAAATGTTTGCTAGTTACCTCTCATTCTAATCAAACCCTGGGTATGTAAGTAGACGCAGGTCAAGATGTGTTTACAATTAATTAAGTTTACTCTCAAATTTATATGCGACATGTGCTCCTGTTTTAAGATCACATTGAGGTAGCTGCTTATAAAAGCATAACTTTATCTTCATGAAATTGTAAACATGTTCGCCCTTCTTTACATTTGTTTATGTTTTCGTATGAATTTGATACAATTCTGTTTTCGTATTTCATTAGTGTAGTGTACCTGATTTTGTATAGCGTCATAGAAATTCTTCTTAAAATCCTTGACAAACATTATGATCAGAACAAAATCTTCGCAATGTTTTCGTCCGTGTTATTCGATTTTGGCGCGGTTCCCTGGGCTGACACGACCAATGCATATATGACACAAAGCTAACGATTGGTTGAAGATTAGCAGTACTAAAACAGAATACTTTATATTCCACAGATTATATACCATTGTGGGCCTTTTCTCGTGCAACATTATGTAAGAAAAATGTAAACATCACTGATATGAGTTACATTTGACAGATGTGAAAGTGGATAATTGTAATTTGAAGCAAAACATATAAAAAGTTAACAGAGAATCTGCCCAATCAGGGGCTCGCTTCCATATGTGAGTGTTGAACCGGAAGTAAACAAACATATCGCCGGGATTGTACGTGCGTACTGTTTACTTCCTGTTCAGCTGTTAAGCAGTGTCATTGCATATGTGATTCACGTCTTAATATAACGAGTAATAGTTCTATCACGGATTGGAAAATGGTACGTGTCACTAACTGGTCGTCATTCGCTAAAGTGTATACACACAGATGTTTAAAGACGGGTTTCTAGCTTATGTGATAGATCTAGGAAAATAACTAACTGACTTTCTTGAGAAATGATTTCAGACGTTGCACAGTAGGTTAAACATCTTGTGAAATGTGCTGCCACCAGTTTTGTTCATGTCACAAACATAGAACAAGTAAAAGTTTCTAATGTCCTTTATGTCTTCTTTCTATTTATGACACCTATGTCACTTTGTAACTGTAAACACACTCTAAGCATGATGATTTTAGATTTCAGTGTTTACACAAGATCTTTATGATATTTACTGTTTTTTTGTTACTGCAAGAAGATATCATAGTCCTGAACCTTGTTACACAATTATTTCATAACCTATCTTGGAACTATACATGGACAAAGTTGGGTGTCAATATCTTTGGGCCACCAATCAAAGGAAGACTGGACATGACAGACGAATGTATACATTGGACTTGACAAAGGTTGCGTATGGACTAACAAAGCAGACTATGGACATAGCACATACATTTTGACTGTGGACCTTACAGGCAGAGGTAGACTATGTACATGACAGACACGTGTATACTATGTAACTGACACAGGTAAGTAAGACTGTGGAGTTAACAGGTGTAGATTGTGGATTTGATAAAGGTAGTGTGTGGACATGGTAGACAAATTTAGACTGTGGACATGAAAGGCAAAGGTAGATTGTGATCATGACAGACAAAGACAGACATGACAAAGGTTTTCTAGCATCATGCTATTGAATACTGTGCTTCACTTTCACTGTTTCAGAGGTGTTTTCTTCTAAATCACCTCTAAGCAGACCTTCATGGCCTGGCAACCTGGCGCAATATAAATAACTAACTGTATAATAATATATAACATGTACAGTTTACCAATATACTGAGCATCACTTTTAGTTATTCAATATTCATTTCATCATCAGTTTGGTTTTGGACATATGTTTCCGGAGGTGGGTCGTCCATTCCAGACCACCTACCGATGCTACTCCGTCACGATGCTGGGAGACAGAGAGGATGTGGAAAGGGGAGGCAAAAGTGAGTTTGTGACATTTACAAACAGTTCAGTTTATTAAGAGAAGAAACAAACAAAATATATTATTATCATTTATCACAACTGGATTTTTATTCTAACACTTTTTTAATTCAAAATACAAATTTATCACTTTCAACACTAATGTCTCTGCAACTGCGTTACAATATGCATCAGCTGTACTCATGAATACCATAGAGGTTTTATATAGGTAAGATTGTCTTGATTCATATGACATGGATTTAATCGTGTCTGTTGTGTTTTCAGTTATAATGCCACCTTCAGCTCTCGATCAGCTCAGTGAGTATATTCAACTGCTTTGTGCTTTGTGAGTTTGTTCTGTAGTGATGTCCAGACTGTCCACTGAATTGGTCAGACAAAAAACCCATTCTTTTCTAATGGTGTCAATATCTACAAATTATCAGGGGAAGAAGTATCAGAAAAAGGTCAGGTGAACGATTGTCAAGTGATACTTCACAAATAGATTACTGGAATATTATTAACTGTAAAACTAACTTTCCTAGCAGTAAAAAAATAATGAATTGACAATTTGAATGTTATATGTTAATACAAACTTCTTGATCATGAATGATGCCCTAAACATGGTGAGACTACAAAAACAAACAAGCAGTTTTCTCCCTTTATTCTGGTCATTTTCCATTACTATAGCCATAACCTACAGCCACTGATAACCAAGGGATGGCGTAAATCCTGCTGGGGAAATCATGTAGGAAGCAAAAAGCACTATAAGTCCCCTTGATTCCCAGTAAGGTGGTAGAACTGTGGTTGTTAGTGGTTTATAGCCTGCTTTTAATTGGTAACAATGAATCTATTGAATCTACTGTCTTCTTATTTTAATTATGGCCAGGTTGGTTTTATGTTACAATTGTGATATACCCATCTATTTTACTGTCCTTTGTTGACAGATATTTTTAAATGATTGCCTTGTTTTCATAGCTATATGGCTGTAAAATTGCCAATGCGATGTAAAATTTTAACACACTCACTCACCCATAACCATAACTGTCATATTGCTGGAATATTGCTGAATAGGCCATAAACAACAAAAAAACAAACAAAATAATTTTGAGTCTGAAATGAGCTGCAGAATGTTTGGTTATGAGCAATAATGTCTACACATTCCTGTGGCAGTGAATTGTTAATTTAGCATTGATATTACAACTTCATTGAATTTGATTTATAAAGACTTGCTCACAGATCATGTTTGGAAGTCAGATGTGTGACGACAATCAATGCCATTTTCCAGCTGCCTGTACAGGTGGTTGTATCAGGTGGTCAGACTCTGTGACTTGGTTGATGCATGTCATAGTATTCCAAATGCATGAATCAGTGCTCATGATGTCAATCACTTGCCTGCCTTTATAAACAGCCATCATCATGATCATATAGCTAGAATAGCTGTCTGTAGCATCAAACAACATTTAAGACAATTCAAACAGATATTGTCATTTACTAAAACGCAGAGAGGAATAGCATTTGAAAAATTGTTTCTTGAACCTTGGATGCCAGCCAGCAAGAATACATGTACACTTAGATTTTGTGACAATGTCTGTTGTTATGCATGATCATGTACATGCAGTGTATGGACATGTATGGTAGATACATATATGGGAGAAAACTCCTGGAGCCTTGTGTGACGGTGGCGTCAAGCTGATTATATTTGCGTCCCTTGGGGACCCCTGCTTGTAAACCCCACTTCCTGAGTAAACGCTCAACATGGTTTATTGTGTTCTGTTTGGCCACGGCCTTAGAAGTGTATAGGATTCAAATACACAACAGTACACAATTAGAATGTTTTGTCAGTGAACATGATAGACAATAGACTTACTTTGACTTCGATGAAAATAAAATAGTAAAACAATGAAACATCCGACATCCATATCAGATGGATGATCACGGAAAATATGCAAAATGTTACCTAAGGGACCATTCCTAATTTACGGCATTGGGGTGATGATGATTTTTATGCAGAAGCATGTACAATGTGAATGACCCCCCTAAAATTTACGTACGAAGTATGTGACACACACACACACACACACACACACGTGCATATCATAACATGTTCAAAATCAATGCCACCCACCCCACCCCACCCCCTTCCAATAATTTTTAAGGATAATTTCTTAAATATCTTTATGTACAAAATTGCTGACCACCCCCACCCCAAATATATATGTGTGCAAAATTGATGCCCCCCTACCTCCCCAGAACATAATTGCTGAACCCCTTCCCCCTTAAAATCATCATCACTCCCTATCCGGCCCCCACCCTCGTAACCATAATTTATGAACGGCCCCTAAGGTTGCATCAGGTGCAAATAGGTTTCATTTTGTGAAATTGAGACCTGGATTCACACTTTTAGGCAACAAGTCAAGTAAAACTAATTTAATATTTTCCCAAAAGTATTTTGAGTAGACCTCATTGGACTACAAAACTCAATAGACAGTACAAAGGGGAGAAACAATGTATTGACAGACGAAGGACAACCATCATGTACCCCGTATGAATGCTAACCATGATCTTATGTGAATGAATACTCAATGGCTTCAAGATTATCTGCAATCCTGAATCATCTTGTGCTGCAGTGTCAGTGTGTGTGTTTGTTTGCAGCTCGTCTCAACATTCAGTACCCGATGTTGTTCAAACTGACCAACAAGAAGCATGGTCGAGAGGCGCACTGTGGCGTGCTGGAATTTGTGGCAGACGAGGGCCGGATATACATCCCATACTGGGTGAGTGACGCTCAAAGATGCAGTGATTTGTCAGCTTATATAACAGCCTTGAGTAACCTTGAATTCATTTCAGGTCAAACGTTTGACAGAATGGATAGACAATTAAATTTCAAGAGTGTAGGAAACACTGATTCTTTAAATGTTGAGCTCAAACCTCAAATAAACTCTGAGTTGACGACCTTCCTAAACACCAGGGTACCGTTGTACAAGGCAGTCTAGTGCTCGTAACTCCTTTAACTTAACATAGACTTACGACTGTTGCAGCACAAAGGTTGTTTTGTACAACGGCAGCCAAGTGTATTCACAGACTTTCAGAATATGTCAGGCCTTTAACAAGCTGAGGGTGAAAATATACAGTCATGTTGTCAGTAATGATTCTTTTCTCAAATATCTTCTGCTTTGTTGTTCAAAATTTGTGTCTTGGATGCAGAGTTGTCACTGAACAGAGTTATGCCCCTTTAGCTATGCCTGGATTTGCTTTATTCCAGATGACTACAGACATATTTCCATTTCCTGCAGAGGACAGATGTTATTGATATCAGAACCAAGGTCTTTGTGTTTTTAGTAATTCACTGTCTATTTCTGAATTAATTTAGCAGCATTATCAGAATCCTATTTGCATATTTCAGATAATTAGAAACTTGTTAACCTTTTTCAGATGATGAGAAACCTTCTGTTAGATGAGGGTGGGCTGATACAG